GAAAAAGGGCAGGAAAGCTCAGATGATGTGCAAAGAGCATTGTGGAGGTTAAGAGAATTTTTCTACCCGTTCACGTCTTAACTCGCATTTCTGCTGAGGGTGACTCATGAGCCCAGGAAGTTGGCAGGGGACTTGGGAGGCTGGGAGGCCAACTGGGGGTTCAGTGGGTAGGCAGCAGGTGCCATCTGCAGAGAGGCTTGGTCGTGTGGCACAGTGGCCTCCAGGAACCACCCTGCCAGAGCCTCCAGAGGAGGCCACAGTCCCTTCCCCCTGGTGGATCCTCCCTCTGTCACCCAGCACCTGCCATTCCTCAACCCCATCAACCTCCCTGGAGGTCCCCAGGTGGCCCAGGAATGTCACGGCTAAGTGACTTAAGGCCATATCTCAGACCCCAGGGTGGCCTGGCTCCAGGCGTGGCTGGGCGTGGCGTCCACTCTGGTCGGGAAGGTCAGGCTCCTCTAGCGGGGATCCTCAGCAGGGCTGGCTCCCCCAGCGGTGAGGGACAGGGGCTGGGCTGTCTGTGGCTGTGGCCACATCCTCGTCACTGGCGCTTCCTTCCAAGGACACTAGTGCCCAGGGAGCTCTGGCCAGGGGCGAGCAGGTGGTCTGGGGCTGCCAAGCTTGGGTGCAGACCAAGTTCTGTCACTGAGTGTTGTGAACAGGGTGGGGACTTGTGACTGCCAGGCCTGCTTCTGGCTTCCAGAGCACACAGAGTCCTCCTGCTGGTCCTCAGTGGGTTCTGGACACCGGGAACGGCACAGCTTGGGGTGGGGCAGCCTGTGAACACTGTCACATCTCCTGTGAAGTGGGGGCAGTGACAGGCAAGAGGGCACCAGCTCTACACTCTATTCTGCCTTCTATGGAGTTAAGAGATGGCCCCAGCCTCTGTGCCTTAACCAGGAAGCCAGCCCGAGCCAGGCCTGTACCACTCCAGCCAGGTCACCTCAGCACATTCCCCACCAGGGTGGAAGAGTTACCGCCTCCCCTTGTCGTCAGAGTGCCCAGCTGGGCCCAGCACAATGCCCACAAGTGGACTCCTGCAGTCCCTCTCCCTGGTGCCGCCATAGCTCACTCAGAGCCTTTGAGAGCAAGTAGTGTGAATCAGCAGCAGATCTCAGCTTCCAGGAGGGAGGAGGGAGCAGTCCCATGGGGCCCACCCAGAAGGGTTCCGCTTCATATCTCTGGGGCCACCAGGAAGTGTCCACCCTGTGGCCCCCAGAGTGCCAGGGGCTAGGGACCGGCCCTTCCAGGTGTGAGGAAGAAAGGCCTGGGAGGCAGAAGCTCAGGATGGAGAGGCTGCCCAGCCAGAGTGGCCCCGTCCTAAAGGGCGGGAGAGGGTAACTTCAAATTCTGAGCTAGAGCCCTGAGTCTCTGTGTCCAACAGGGACAGGGACAGACCAGAGGCCCGCAAGCAGCCAGCCACATCCATAGTTGACCTGCTCAAAGGAGCTGGAGTCATTTCCCTGCACAGGGGGGACTGGGAGGGCAGGAAGCCACATCCACAAGTACTGTGGGTTCAGGATGTTCCTGAGAGAGTGACCGTCCTGCTGTGAGGACAGCGGCACAAAGTGTCATCCACACGCTGGCTGTTGGGAGCATGGGCCAGCACTCCTCTTATTTGCCGTTGGGTGACTGTGGTGGAGAAGGGCTCAGGCGGCTGTGCCCAGGGCAAGGGGCTGGGCAGTGCCCACAGGCTACCTCCACCCCTTTCTCCTGGGGATGATTTGTCTTCCAGAACACTGGCTGCCCTCTGGCCACCCCACCATCCATGCACCCACTGTGCACTCACACATGCACACATCCACATGTGTGCACACAAGCATACAAGCACATGCCCATATGTATGCCTGCGTTCATACCCACGCTCGCACATATGTGCGTGCCCACACACATATACATGCGTGTGCACACACATACATGGACCGGATGTTGACAAGTGTCCGAGCATTGCAGGTGGTTGTTAGCTAGTTCCTGAGGTGGATGCTTCTTCAGAGCAGGCTTGGGGAGACAGGCAAGGCCCAACCCTGGAGGCATAACCAGCCCCAGAGATGCAGGGGACGGAGCCTTGAATGATGACAGCACCAGGCTCTGCCCCTACACAGGTCGGGATGGGGAGGCACAGATGCCCAAGACAGAGATGGGGATAGGCTGGAAGCTACCATCTGCAGCCCCACCAGAGGGGCCTCTCCTCCCTGTGAGCAGGGGCCTGCAGAGCTCTCAGCTGTTCCCTGTGGCTGGGACAGAGGGGTCTGAGTGCCTGAGGAAGGGCCCTGTGTGGGGCTGGGCCCCGAGACAGCTCCTGGAGGATGGGATAGCTGCCTCCATGACTGCACATCAGCCCTTGTAGCCTCCGCCCCTGCAGCCAGGGCTCCCTCCACACACCCATCCTGGCCAGGCTGCTGGTGGGCCATGGCGCTGGGCTGGGGCCTGCCCTGGATTTGAGCACAGCAGGCAGTGACCTCCTGGGAAGGTGTGAGGACCCTGGAAAGACCCCACCTGACCCATGAGAGGACGTGGCATGTGGAGAGGTATCCCCAGGACCCTACCTCAGCCCTAAACAGACAACTGTAACAGAAGCCTGCCTGCAGGTGTGGGGCCCAGGGACAAGGGACAGGCAGGTGCCAAGGGTCAGCCCCTCGGGAGGTGGCCTGGGCCTGTTGCCTGGTTCCTGAGCTCAGAGCAGGTGCAATCAGAAACATAGGCTCCTGGCTACACTTACAGGATGCACCCAGCCTGGTGCTTCAGGCTGGAGGGAAAGTTGGGGTCCTGGTGAGGCAGGAGGCCCAGCAGGGCTTCCCCCACCCTCAGGTCACAGGAACCAAGCCAGTGTGTGGAGACATCGCAGGACTGTGACAGAGAACTGGACCCATACCTGGGGTGCTGCTAGTGCCATCTTCTGTATTCGGGGGTCCCTTGTCACCTCCACACTGGTTGGGTCCTAGCCTCTGACCTGGGCACTTTGTGGTCTGGTGCATGCTTGTGCAGTGGTCAGCCTCTCTCTCCACTGGTGTGGAGCGGACAGAATGTGCGGACACGTGGCAAAGGACTCAGTTCCCACCAAGCCCCTGCTGGATGGAGCCCACTGCCCTGTGCTGCCATCACGTGAGCCAGTGGGGCAGGGAGAACATCCACTTCCGTTCTGGAGGGAGCCAGAGGGTCAGGGAGCAACACCGCAGCCCAAGCCCTGGGATGCCACCCTCTGCCTGCTCCACGACCTCCCATGCAGCACTCCAGGTCTCCTGTGCCCACACTCATGGGCCCTCACTGCCCACCTTTCATCAGGAACCCAGGTCACTGGCAGGGCCAGCTGGGGACAGCCTGAGTGGGTGGGAGCAGGACCAAGACTCCACGTGTGCTCAGGGGTGCAGCTCTGCCCCATCTGCAGGACTGCGACGAGACACAAGGGCCATTATGTAGAGTGCATGCTCTTCCTGGCCCCAAGCTGGCATTGAACTTCGTGAAAGCACTCACTGAGCAGCTGGGGGTCCTGAGAGAGCTGGGCAGTCTGCGCATGTGAGGCGACGCTGGGCATCAGGGACCAGGCCAGTCTCCTAGTGGGGGTGCAAGCTCCCCATCTCTGCCTTCCTGCTCTCCCTCTAGCCCAGTCCTGTCCCTGAGAGGCTGAGTTCTCAAAACCAAGGCCTGCAGCCTCCAGATGTCCAGAAAGCTGAGCCTTTCCAGTCTTGGGGTGGCCAGGGTGCTGGTCCAGGTGCAGATTCCACACTACTCCCAGGGGCCCTGAGCCCTGATGCTGCCTCTTTGACTCTGAGTGCTGGTGGCCCTGGTCACTCAGGAAGGCTCTGTGGGCATCTGGGGACCGCTTGAACAGTTCACAAAGCATCTGGCTCTCTGGGCAGAGGTGGCGGCTCCAGGCCTCAAGTGAATGGTCCCCTCCAGGTACTACTGTTCATCCAAAGCCTTCAGGAATAGGAGGTCCATGGTGTCCCAAATCAGACAGTGCCATGTCCAGCTGCCAGCTGGATTGTACACTGCCCTGCCTGATTCACTGTGTCCTTTGGCCTCCATCCCTGCCCACCTGGGTATATCTCCCCATGTGGACAGAGCTGCCTACCTGGCACCCTTGTACACCTGAACACCTGCACACAGCTGGACAGAATGCCCAGGGCACACCTGAAAGCAGCCTCTCTACTCCCAGGACCTTAGCCCCTGCCCACCAACCTGCCTCCCACCACTGCCCACTCTGCCCAGGAAGCCACCCAGGATGCGGTTTCCCAGACTCTGTTCAGAACCACAGCCAGCACTGAGCAGCACAGGCAGGAGGCCAGAGGCAAGGCCCCACCTGCAGCTGCCCCCATGGTCCAGCAGGCCAGGCCTTCTCAAGAAACCTCCTCGAAGTTGGAGACTCAGTGCAGATCAGAAAACAAACCTGAGAAGCTGCCACCCAGCCTGTCATAGTGCATTCAAAAGACGACAACAAGAACAAAAGAAAGCCAAGCCCCAGGGAGTCTCAAGGGCGAGGGTGGCGTGGTGAGAAAAGTTGGGCATTTGCGTGTCACCAGGTGTCAAACTGAAACTTCCAGCTTTAAGGAAACGACACAGTTTTCTCCCTTTCAGGGTGATGGGCAAACTGATGTGAGCATGCACAAGGGCACAAACGTGCACACAGGAGACGCACACACAGACACACACAGGGGCACACACCCCAGCCTCCACGCAGCTGTACACCCCAGTGACACCTTTACCTTCAAAAGCACTTTTTTCTAGCCCAGCACCCGACCGTCCTCAGCAGTGGACTCTGTGCTTAGACACAGCAGCCTCTGCTTCCTAACACCTACGACGGCTTTGCTGGGGAGGTTTTGCAACGCTGGAGACTGGTTTTACTGCCTGGTCAGGGCAGTGATCTGCTCGGTGAGAAAAGAAAGAGCTGTCCTCCATCTCCCCGCTGGGGTGTCCGTGTGGCCCACGTGCCCATGTGCACTGTCCGTGTGTGACCTGTGCCCCACGGCCCTCTGACCCTTGGTATGCTTCTTTCCTGACAGATCTCCGAGGACTTGGGCAGCGAGAAGTTCTGTGTGGATGCCACCCAGGCGGGGGCTGGTAGCTGGCTGAAATACATCCGAGTGGCATGCTCCTGTGATGACCAAAACCTCACCATGTGCCAGATCAACGAGCAGGTAGGTCTGGCCATGGACGCAGGGCCTCTGCCCTTGGCATTGGCTCTGGGACACAGTGCACAGTGAGAGGCAGCGGAGCCTTTGCCTGGGTCTTCAGCTGAGTCCCATCCTGCCATGAAAGTGACCGTTTGACTCTTGGCCCACACTGGCTTTCTGGGGAGCTCAGCTCCCTGGGACCATTCTGTGGGAGCTGTGGGTCAGCCGACCTGAGGCCCACACTGCTTGTGGCTGAAAGATGATGTTTTGAAAAGTGCAGTGGAGCAGGGAGCAGGCGGATCCCAGACCAGGCCGAACTTCCCTGCAAATGCTGCTGCCTGCTAGATGTGAAGGTCAGAAACAAACTTGCCAGACCCCTGCCTGCAGGGTCTGCTGGCCAGCGGGAGAGCAGCTCAGGGTTTCCTCGCCCGGCCAGGCTGCCACAAGGCTCCCTCTGCCCGGAGCCTCAGCTGTGGCCACAGGCTGCCCGGCAGGCATGGGCAGGGCCTTGTCTCGGCACTAGGTTCTGGCCACCAGCAGCCACCCGGGATCTTTGGAGCATGTGGTTCCAACTGCAGGCCCGGCCCTGCCAGTGCTAGGGGTCCTTTCCATCCTGTCCCCAGCTCCAGAGGCCTAGGACCCCCCACTGGCTCCCCAGCCCCTTGAGCCCTGTGGTTTTTAGGGAAGCTAAAGGCCCACATGGGAGCAGCTACTTTGCAAACTCTCCTGGTGTCAGGGCCAGACAGTGGAACCACCTTATGCTGCGAAGGCGAGCAACAGCCCCCCTCTGGCTGACTCCCTTTCATTTGACCCCACCTGTGGCCCCTCCACCCTCTCAGAGCTCTGAGGAGCACGTGGCCTCTCCCCTGAGTCCCCCGTGCTGTCGCCTGCTGGCCCCTCTCCACACAGCCTCATGGGGTCACCACCCAGGTTTTGGCCCATGGGCCCTGTGATAGCTCAACCCTTCCAGAGGGAACTCAGGGACATTTAGGCAAGTGCAACCCCTGAAAGGTCCGTGGCAGGAAGTCCTCTGAGCAGAGAAAGAGAGGAGCCCCATCCTTGGGACACCCCCTCGTAGCAGGGGACACCAAGTGTCCCGACCACCCCAGAAGCCCACCAGTGTGCCCAGAGCTGTGCCTCTGAACCTGACAAAGCACTAGGCAGTGGCCTCAGAAGCACTCAGACGTGGTGGAAGAGACTGTGGCAGCAGGAAGGAGGGAAGAGAGTGGTGCGGATGCTCCACTTCTAGCCCAAATCTCAGCTCGGAATTTCAGCTGAGGAAAGAGAGCAATGTGCAGAATGTGTTTGCTTTTGAATAATAATGTTCAAACTGTAATAATACGGAAAGCTGCTCTCAGAAACCCGGAGGTTCTCGGCACCTATTTGTTGTTTGAACCAAGTGGCTTTCAGAAATCCCGTTTGGAAGGGAATGCAGACTCCCACTCCTTGTTGAATGGTCTCCCAGAGGCAGCTCAGCTGCGACCTCAGCACAAAGCACTTCCGTTTCCTGGTCCTGAGCGGGGAGGCACATGAGCTGCTATGACCCTCTGTGGAGCTAAACAAAAACCCCCCTCAAATATCAACAATAAAAAATATTTTCGAAGACAGAGTTCTCTTTTTCGAAGACAGGGTTTCCTTGAGAAGGAAATATTACATGATATTAATGGGGTTTCTCAGATTTCCACGATCCTGAGGGCTGCTACCAGGGCTTCCAGGTAGCCATGGACTCCACATGCCCACCATGTGCACATACCCACCCCTCCACCATAGCACAGGCTCAGAGGGGCAGGTTAGCATCAGGACATCCACGCACACAGAGAAGTGTTGAACCTTCCCAGCGGACTCGGCAGGTAAAATCCCCAAGTCACTGAAGGCCGGAGCCTAGATGTGCGGCCCAAGACACGTGAGCTCGGAACCAATTCTCAGGAGAGCAGCCAGACGGAAGCGGTCTCGGCACCTTTGGAGAACATTCTGGAAGCCACAGCCCAAGGAGGCATGCCCTCCCACACGCAGAGCGCTGAGGGCATGGGTCAGAAGCTGCCTGGGACGTGCTCAGACCACCAGCCACCACCCTTTCCCGGCCACGCCCGACCCAAAGAAGATGGCTTATTGCTCCTTGCAGCCTGGGGCTGGGGGACCAGGATGTGCACACATCTCCTGACACTCCCTCCAACACCCACCTCCTGGGCCTTGGGCACAGAGGGGTGCAGGCAGGTGGCACAGCAGGGCCTGCTGGGCTCTGTACCCCTCACCGCCCCTGCTCCATCTCCATTAACTCTTCATCCTCTGGCCGCGGAGCTGCAGGAAAGCACTCGCTGGCTCTGGCTTCTTACTCTTGCCAGGTGCTGAGATCCCCTACAACTCTGTGACTCTGAGAACCCCGCCCAAAGGACATCAGAAGGGACAGGCCCTGGCCCTCATGCCCTTGCAGCCCTCCTTATGGCTCGGGATGGAGAGGCAGGCAGCAGCAGAGGCCACACTGGGCCATGATTTCATCCTGGGCCTGGCCCCATCACCTGACAGGTGATTTGTGGCTTCTATACACAAAGAACAGCCCTTTCTATGGCCAGCAATACACTGCTTCCAAACGCGAAAGCTCTTGGGGACCCATCTGGAAGGAACAAATCGCTCCCCACAGATGATAGGGTGTCAGGACTCCGTACCAGGGTGTGGGGAGGTCGGGTCAGCCTGGAGCCCCCCTGACTATACTGGGTGCATGGGCCGTGCTAATGTCCTTCCATCCAGCTGAGCCCAAAGGCGGGGAAGCACCCCAAGTGCCTGAGTTTGCTCCGGGAGCTTCGGAACGTGCCCCCGCCACCAAACACCCAGCTTCCTTTCCAGGTGGGGAACTCAGACGTCCAGGTCACCCCAGGTAGTTCCTCATGCAATTATGAGCGCACAAGTGGGTTTGAAATGCCTGCGGGACACAGACGGGGTCTGTTCCTAAATTTGTTTTCATGTTAAGAAAGAAAACAAGAGCTTGGAAGCCAAGCGCCCACAGGAGGAAGCGGGGCCGGTCAGGCCCCTTCACAGCGAGGCTTTTTTCTCCTTCTCACACTGGCTGGATAGGGCAAGAACGCCAGTGGGGGAAGGGCGGGGGCCGGGGCAGGGCCGTGCTGCGATCTCGATCTCACCTCCCCGCAAGGCTGCTCCCTGGCTACGTACAGCACCCCCGACCAGAAGAGCGGCACCCCCTCTCCTTCCCGGACGGTCCTTGGGGACTCTATCAGGTTCCCGAGGCCGGCAGGGGCCAGGGCGCCACACCAAGCCTGTGGCCAGGAGGCTGACGACGCCCCAGACTACTCAAGACACTGAGCACGGGGCCAGTGTCTCCCCAGGGCAGGGCGATCCCGGGGCAGCCTCCTCAGAGCTGGACCCACAGGCGTTCGTTTAGAGGCCGTCAACACCACACCGAGTCCTTCTTGAAGCCAGCGCTTGTTTTTAATGAAAACCCGGTGTTGTTTGCTTGATCGCAGCCGGCAGGCCAAACCCGTTCTCTTTTGCTTTCGTTTCCTTGGCCCCGACCTGGACCCCTCTTTCCCGGCAGGTCATGTGACCTGCTAGCTCTGGAATTTCAAACAGGGGGCGTCTGACATCCACCATCCTGCTCTGACCCCTGACATTTCCTTACTGCCTTTACTTTTACCCCCATCATTTTTTAAATTAAAAATCATAAATTTTTAATTTGGCCGGTTCAAATGGTAGCCTCCAACAATTAGATACAATTTTCTCTTTGAAAATGAGAAGGGGAGGTTAGGGGACTAGTTGTAGCATTTCTTAACTAGTTGACAAAAGGCTTTCAAAATATATCAAATTTGTTTTGATTCAGAAAAGTGTCACATGTTGCTGGGCCCCCTTGGGAGCCAACCCGTCCTCATTCTGGAGAACAAAATGTTTAAATTCACAATACACTAGCCGGTTGTCAGATTGTGTGTTCCACTCCTTCTTAATTAAATGCAACCCTTTATTAGAAGAAGCCCTGAAGAACGTTGGCAATTTAACTATGGATGAATAATTTATATTTTTACAATCCTGCTCCTAACTGCACAACTAAGAAAGGGATAAATGTATAGAATTTTTTAACCCATGAGCCACTGGGAAAGAGGCAGAACATATAGCAACAATACAATAAAGGCTTAGACACAAATAAAATGCTTCAGCCGATGAGCTTTCCCTCCCTGAGTGTCCTGGAGCCTGCCCACGGTGCCCAGCCGGAACAGCTGTCCCCTGGCTGCCCAACCTTGAGAACACCAGCAGCCACCACAACAGGCCAGAAGCAGGCTACACTGAGGAAACAGAAATGAAGACCCCCGCGCTGGTCCTGCGGAGCCACCCCCACCAGGTCAGGGAGCATCATTGAGTAGTTTTCTGAACACCAAATGCTCGAAGCACCAGGTGTCGACATTCTGCAGAGCAACACGGCTCATGGTTTGGGCACAGCAAGCAGTCGGTGAAGCTCCCATGGTCCCTGAAGGCTGGAGCCAGCACAGAGCCAGCAAATCTCAAAGACACTGAGAGACGTGCGAGAAAAGACCTGGGAATAACCTTGGGACCTGCGTCCTTTCTCGGCGGGACAGATGACAGGCAGGCGGGGTCGCTGGCTGAGCGTGCTTCACAGCAATCACTTTAGAGAAACTCAAACTCCGCTCACATGGAGCACGTGTTGGTGACAGATGCCTCAGAGCCACGCCAGCCTTTGCCAGTTCAAGCCCCATGAACTCCAAAATCCAGGATGGTGAGAGACTGGGTTTTGTTTTTTAAAAAAAGTGCGGGTAAGGGTGTTACACCTATTTTATTTCAATACGCCTTTAAAGTTTCTTAGACGAGTCAAAAAAGAGGAAAGAATAAATTGTGGGGAAGTGCACTTTGATGGACTGAAAAAATGGAGTCCCATTTGTCCCGGGGGGGAGACAGTGGTAGCTGCTGCCTGTATCCAACCCACTGACCCTGAAGTTCTATCTGGTCATCTCTGGGCGTATTTCCTTCATTGAAATGTCAAAATTCATAGATGGAGTAGGAATGAAATTTATGAGACTAAGGTCTTGTAGGTTAAAGTAGTGTCTTTCCTTGTGATCTGATATTTATTTTTTAAAAAATGCTCCAGGACCCCTAAGGAGACAGCGGGTAAAAGCTGATGGCCAATGTCAAATATTTCTCTGTCTTTCGGATTGTGTCGGGGGTGCTGCACATTTTCACTACCCAGCTTCCCTCAGGCAATTTCTCTCTCTGCCCTTTGTGAAGAGAGTGGCTAGTTATTTGTCCCCGGCACGTTTACCTCCAAGGACCTCCTCTTTGTGTCTGGAAAGTGATAAAAGAGGCAGAAAATAGGCCGGGTCACGCTAAGTACAGTTATAATTCCGGGAGCCTCTGTTCCAAGGTGTTTGCCCAAGTTCAATAAAGCCGCTGTCACTACAGAGAGGAGCTGCACAGAGGAAGCAGGGGATCGACAGCGGGCCCTGTCTGTTCGGCATCATTACTTTTTAGGGCCGGCCTTTATTGGTGCTGGTAATTGTAACTGTTGCTAAGAGGTTCCCGCCCCCAGACCCCAGGGAGGAGAGGATTCGGGACTCCCACATGGCTCCGGGGCTGGGGGATGTCTGATTCGAAGGTTTCTTCTGCCTTGGATAGTTCTCCCTCCTTTGGAGAATTCGGCCCCAGTCACAGGTCCCATGGATGCAGGGCAGGGCCTGAAGGGGTGCTGATCATCTACTGAAATTATTCCCTGCCCCCTCGCCCTGCCAACCTGGTCCTGCCAGCCTTTTTCACGGAAAATTGCTGGCTCCTCGGCCAGGAATTGGCTTCCCAATTGTGCCATTCAGAACCAGGTCTTCAGCAAGGCAAGGGCCCCGAAGCTCCCCGTACCCCAGCAGTGGAAGCAGGTTGGGGCACCCACCCCTCCCTGGGCCCTGACATTAGCTCTAAGAGTGACTCATTCTTTCCTATCTCAAAGTCCCTGCAACCAGAGTGCTGCTCTGCACGCCCCGTGTGCCCCATGGTGTCCCGGAGGAAGAGGGAGGAGACACCCTGGGAAAAGGAGAGGATTCCTCTGTAGGAGGGGCCCGGGGCTCCAGGCAGTGTCCGCCCCTATGGTCAGGGTCCCAGTGGGCTCCTGTCCTTGAGACAGAGTGAGGGGTCCTGGGAGGCCCAGCAACCTGGGAGTGGAGATGCTGGGTCCTAGGGTCCCTACAGCTCTCAGAGGTCATGGAAGGAGTGAGATTGGGGGATCAGGCACCAGGAGCGCCTGCCTCCCAGTGGGAAGGAGGTAGGGTGTGGCGGTCACACCACAGGGAGAGGTCCCGGGAGAAGGGTGCCTGGTGGGCAGCAGAGAGTGAAGGGCCAAGTGACCTCTGACCCAGACCACGAGCCATGCCCTCCACCCCGCCCCACTGCACCTCTCTGGGCCTCACTGGCCTGGACTGGGTTGAGCCTGGGTGGCCCAGCAGCCTCCAGGGCCCATCAGGCCCCAGCTTCCCTTCCCTGCCTCTGCACTGTGGTCTGTCCCCATCCTGGGACAGCAGCCAGCGGGGGCTGTGGGCAACTACAGCTTCTGTGGTGCATGTTGGGCGCTCACAGTGTGGCTCTGGAGCTTCACCTGTCACAGGGTCCACGGGGGGTGGGGGGGAACGGGGCGTGGTGCTCGGTTCAGTCCCCAGTTGGAGGAAGTCGGATGCCAGGGTTCCTTCTTCCTTGAGCAGGCTTTTCCCTTCCAGAGAGAATTCAGCCCCAGCCTGTCCCAGCATACGCTGGGCCCCTGGAACTCCAGCACCGGAGTCCAGGCCAACCCTGTCATTCCTGCCTCTGCTGGTCCCTTCCAGTCCTCAGCCCATCCACCATGAGGAAAAGACCCCTTGTGGGTACAGCCAAGGTGGCCTCGTCCCAGGCCTCCAAGGGGTCAGTGGCCTCTTCAGGCCTCCCTCCAGTCCTGTCCTTCCTCAGGCCCGGCTGCAGGCTGCTGGGAGCTGCCTGGCTCCTGACCTCAGGACAGAGCCCTAGGAGCCAATGCCCAAATGTCCACTGCCTCCAGCCTGCAGGGCAGGTGCTGGCCAGCCACGTAGCCATGAAGAGCAGGCCCCGCCCCACCAGCCAAGGCCCACGTCAGTGGTGTCCGGGGTGCCCAGGGGCCTGGCTCTGCTTTCTGAACTGCTAGCTTCCTCCATCACAGCCACCACTTCAACACCTCCAAGACGTTTGTGCCCTTCAGGGGGCAAAGGACAAGCGGCGTGTGGGGCAGAGTGGTGCCGCTGAGCAGGGCCTCTGCCAGCTCACTCCCACCAGCCTCCCAAACAGTGCCCCAGCCCCGTGGCACAGGCATCCGCTCAGCCCACGTGAGGAGGGGACCGGAAGCCTGGATCGCAGCGCAGGACCTTCTGCCTGGGGTGGCTCCCAGGACACCTGGGCAGGGGACACTGATGCTGACCCTCACCTGCTTGATTCTATGTCCTGTCAGTAGCCCCAAATCAGGATGGAACCAATTAAAAGGGGCTCCAGTCCTTCTGTGCTCATGCGGCAGGACTTCTGAGGTGTCCTCTTTGTGGCAATTAGAAGCCCGGTCAAGTGGCCTGCAGGCCCGAGCCCCCCATGAGCCATGCAGCAGCCTGCCGGATGGAGTGCTGTGTGGACGACAGCAGCACTGGCCTGACCGGATCTCCCGGGTCTCTCCTAGATTTACTACAAAGTCATTAAGGACATTGAGCCAGGGGAGGAGCTGCTGGTGCACGTGAAGGAAGGCGCCTACTCCCTGCGCGCAGTACCACCCAGCCTGGATGGTAAGACCCTACCTCCCAGCCAGGTCCCAGGTCCCAGACCCAGGCCATGGACAGAGTGCTGCCTGCTTCCCTCTGCTTCCTTGGGACCCAGAGCTGTGTCCTGAGTTTAAGAAGGGCTTTGTACAATGGTGAGCTGAAGTCATGTTGAATGATATTTTTGCAGTGCTGGAACTTCTGGTGAACTTCTAAAACTGTGTCATTGCCATTAGTATCAGCTTTTCCAATACTGAAAAAAAGGATGAAGTGGAGGACGGAGGGGAGCAGGGGAGCGGGGAGTGGAAAGGGAGGGGTTGGTCTCCCCAGAGACCTATGAGAAGCTCCGCCTCCTGTAAGAGAGGAAGGTGGCACAGCTGTCTTTCAAAGTAACTCCCATCTGTAATTTAGAACCCAAGAGAAGTGTTGGAGGAAGTTTGACTTGGAGGGCATGTTCAGGGTTGGGCTGGGCCTGGTAGTGGGGTGAGAGTCCCTAAGCTCTCCCCCAGCTGGGAAAGTTCCAGAACCCCCTCTCCATTTGTCGTTCTACCTGCCTGTGGGGTTGTGATTGTTGGTCCCCTTCCTGTCTGTCCACACACAAGTTCCTCTGAGACCATGCTTGAGAAAATGCCAGCCTTAAACAAACTAGAGATTAGGGGTTCTTTCCATTTTATTCTTTATTCTTTTTTTTTATTTATGATATTGGGCTTTGATTGAACCCAAGGCCTTCACTCTGAGCTACATCCCCAGCCAATTTTCAGTTTCTTATTTTCAGACAGGGTCTTGCTAAGTCACTACACTGCCCCAGCTGGGCTCCAACTCTTGATCCTCCCGCCTCAGCCTCCCAGAGTGCTGGGATGACAGTCATGTGTCACCACAGCTAGACTTGGGGTTCTGAAACACTGGCTTGGACCCCCTCCTCGCATCATGAAGCACAGGGTCCTGGACCTGTGGATGGCCCCAAGGCCCTGTTGGCAGCAGGAGTCAGCTCACACACACCAACACACACACACAAGCACTCTCTGATTCTGGCTGTTCCCGGAGCTGCTGATTTCTGCTCATGCCAGAGCCGGGGATGCGGGGTTTGCCTCGCCCTTCTGACATGGCTTAATGATTAACGCCACTGGCCACATCTCTCGGCACTGCTCTAACCCCTCAGGGAGGAGCAGCATAGCTGGCCAGGAGGCAGGCAGGAAGGCTCTGAGACCTGACCCAGAGAATGCTGCCTCAGTTTACCCTTTGGGCCCTCAGCAAACAGCGGGCAGGGTCCCTCCTTCATACAGCAGCAGTCTGCATCCCTGAGCTGTCGAAAGGAAATCGGCACAGAAGGACAACGTCACCAGCTGGGTCCTGTCTGTACTTTCCGCTAGAGCTTGGTTTCCATTAGGCTGTTGAGAAAAGAAAAATAAATTGCCAAAATCTGAGTAGCAAGAGAGAGGTCTCATTTTCCTTAAAATAATTGTTGAAAAGACCTGTGAGTCTTGGAGAATACACGCGACTCCAGAAGATAAATCTGCTTAACTTGAAGAGAGCGTTCGGCTGTGGGATTTCATTTGTGCAAGGAAATTTCTTTCTTCCAAAAGGTTTTTTAAAACCTCAGTTCCTGCTCCCCACCAGCCCAGCCCCCAGTTCTGAATAACCTGGGTCTACATTTTCCTAATAATCTATCAAATGCTCGCGGGCTAATTGCTTCCCACACATAATAGTCCGACATCAAATATTTGACTTTTCTTCCCTTGGCTGTCAAGGTCGCTTCTTTGACTCCCCACCAGCCCCCCACCCCCAGCTAAACTCTGAATTGCGCAGAAAGAAAATGCAAAAACGCTCCTCACTAAGATAATTATCATAAAAAAATCTTTTCCACCTCACTAAGATAATTATCATAAAAAAAATCTTTTCCACCGACCCCAGCTAAATGCAGCCGGCCCCTTATCCCTGCAGGAATTTGGAGTGGCTCTGGAGCTCTTTTGAGGCTGGAGTTGAAGATTAGCATGTGGATGCTGGTAATTGTGAACCCCCGGCTCTCAGAACCATTAGGCGCTGATTTATTTTTCTGTTATGTTCCTGCTTGGCCGTGAAAGTTGCCGGTGGAACTTCAGCTAGATGAGCACGGGCCAGCTTGGACAGGGAGACCCAGGCTGCTCAGGTCACATGGAAGCTGGGACTTCCAGCGGGCCTGCGACCCCTGCCACATTTGCATGAAGAGGGCTCTGTTTCCAATCGCTCTGCTGTGTGCTTGTGGGGGAAAGGGGGCTGGAGGGGGCCACATTCAGGCGGCCAGGAGGAAAAGGAGCCCTGGTCAGGACACGCATGGGGGAACAGCACTGCCCACAGCTCCCGGGGCTGGGTGTCCCTGCACAGGTGTGTCTCCATTAAGAAATGCCACCCCAAAGCCAGGCCTGGTGGCACACGCCTGTAATCCTAGCTCTCTGGGAGGCTGAGGCAGGAGGATCACAAGTTCAAGACCAGCCTGGGTGATTTAGAAAGACCTTGTCTCAAAATAAAAATGGGCTGGGAATGTAGCTCAGTGAAAAGGCCTAGGTTCAATCTCAGCACCCCGAAAAACCAAAAGTGTTCCAGCAGCCACATGGGTGGCTCGGAGGAGGGAAGGCACATGAGCCCCTCCATCAGCTGCCTTTGTTCGACTCCTGCGACGCAGGGGGAGGAAGGCACTTTCAGGAGAACCTCTTGCTCTGGGGAGAAAACATAAAATTGTAGCATTCAAATTGGTCTCGTTTCAAAATGACCACTGTGTCCTCTCCAGGAAGATCAAGAAGAGCTGGGACAGGTGCGTGATAGGTGGGGACCCTGGAGGTAGTGTCAGGGATTTGCAGTGCCACCTGGTATTTCTTGTCCTTTTTTTTTCTTTCTTTCTTTCTTTTTATTTTTTATTTTTTTCCAACCTGGTATTTCTTTAAATGGAATTTCTTGTCCTGGGAAAACGAAAGCCACTACCCACAGCCTACTTCCCCGCCTCCTCGGAGGAGCTGGGAGAGGGGGGTAGGCAAAGCTCAGGCCCCATCCAACCCTCCACAACGGGCTGGGCAGAGGAGGAGCAGGACAGGCTGGTGGCCAGGGTCTGTGCTTCAGGTACCTTAGTGCTGGCAGTGCAAATCAGGCTGAGTGCTCATTCTAAACCCCGAAAGTTTCATTTTAAAATCTAAATTGCAAATCAGAAGGGAAAAAAATTACTTGATCCCTGGTGTGAATGAGTGAAAGCAGCACTTCTCCTTGTCTTTCTATTTTGTTTGTTTGTTTTTGAGACAGGGTCTCACTGTGTCCCCCCCATTACTGGGGATCCAACTCAGAACCTTGCTCTTGTGAAGCAGTGTGGGGCCACTGAGCTACATCCCCAGCCCAGGATCTCACTGTGTAAGCCAGACTGGCCACAAACTTGCAGTGATCCTCCTGCCTCAGCCTCCCAAGTACTGAGATCTGGCCCTTTGTCTTCAAACTTCAATTCTCCATTACTTTCAGTTGGGTGCAGAAAAGGTAGAACAGGAAGGGGCCTTTCCAATCTGCCCATGCTGGTGGACCCTCCTACCTCGGCGTCTGCAGCCCACAGGAACATGGGGCAGGGGCGGGGGGGGACAGTGGGCCAGGTGTGAGGGGGTGCCTGGTGCTCAGACCTCTAGGGCTCCTCGCAAGCCAGAGTTTGAGCCTCTAGTGACAAGGGGAGGCCATGGTGGGTGAGGGAGTGAGCACCCCAAACTCACGGGACCATGTTGTGAACCCGTAACCCTCTGTGGAAGACTGGGGCCCAGCCTGCTCTCCATCCTAGGCCCCAAACAGGGCTCCGCCCCTCCCCTGGGTGAGTCCCTGGGTCTCCCTGGCCACCGCTGACTGGGGATGAAGCAGGGACACAGCAGCCACCACAGTGCATTGGCACTGGGTCCCACGCGTGTGTGCCGTGACGTGGTCAGGACAGCGCCTGCTGGGGGGCCCTGAACCTGGGGGCTGGCGTCCTGTGTACCTCGCTCACCGCAGACTCCTGGGAGAGGAAGAGTTGGACTGGTAGGCAGCCTCTGCAGGCCTGCTGTGGGCTCAGGTGAGCCACAGGGCCAGGATGCCCAGAGCCAGTGGCTGGGGTCTGATGGGCCATGGGCGGCACCTGCCCAGTTGGCCCCATGCACGGATGCCCAGCAGCACTTAACTGCCCCCAGATGTTTGCCCCTTTCCTCAGAAGCAGCTGACGGCCAACCTGGCAGGCGGCGCCTGTGTCGGGGTGAATGTTGCCCCGTGGCCCAACAGTGGCATTCGTGACCCATCATTAGTGATGCCCGGTGTGGCCCAAGACAGCCCAAAAGAGCACTGCTGCGTGTAGGCACGGGGCAGCTTCCCGTCAGCAGCAGGCGAGCCTCCTCAAGACTGCTGCGCTGCACAGCTGCAGAGTGGCTCTGCTTGTCCTTAGGACTGCGAACAGCCTGTGCTCCTGGTGGCCCTTTCTCCCATCCACCCATCTCCCCTGCCTGCCTCTGACCCCAGCTCAGGCCTCTGCAGCCAGCATCCAGCCCCAGTGTGTGCAGGCTCTGCTCAGTGCCAGGCATGGGCCAGTCCTGAGTGTGCACACTGGCCCAGACATGGCACATGAGTCCATAAGTGCACACACATGCATCCGTGTGCACATTAAAACACGAGCACACACAGCACACACATCAGTCACCCAGTCACAGACACAACACGCACACCTATGCATATAGAACCCCCAAATGCACATGCATGCACACGGAAACGTGACATGCAAAGTGAACACACAAACATGTACCCAATACAAACATGCCCCAAACAGTCACGAGTACTTGCACACATGCACACAAGTCCATATGAATGCTCACACAAACGGGTGCACATGGGCTGGAATGGTCACACAGCTACACACTCCTGCACAAGTGCACATGTGCGTCCATACCGCCACACGCATTCACACAGATCACCCCACCGCTCAGGTCGTTTGGGCAAGAGCTTAGAGCAGGTGTTTTGTCTCCAGGCCGGGCTGGAGCACGAGGTCCCTGCAGTGGGGGCACCACTTTTCGAAGCTGCTGCCCGGACAGCTGCAGGCGGGGGAGGGGCCCAGAGCCGCCCCCCCCTTCCCCAGGGATCGCAGCTCCGGGCGATTGTTTGGCTTGGCACTGTGGTCAGGATGCTGCCTCGTAAACTTAATAATAGCTGCCCCCCTTTTAATTTGTTTGACCTTGACGACAATAGTTTATTATATGCGTTGGAGCTCTGTCATCTTTTTTCTCCTAATTCATAAACAAAGCCCTGGGCCTGGCTCTCTTCTCCGCTCCCAGGCAGGGCCTCTGGAGCCCTCGGCAGGCGCAGCCTGAGTCGCAGGGAGGGACCGCCTTTCCTGCCGTGGGGAGATCGGGTCTCTCGGCCCTGTGCAGCCGTGGGCAGCCACCCCTGGCCCAGGGTGAGGGCTGGAAGCCTGCAGGGCAGGGTGGCCAGGGTGGGCGCAGGCCCCATGGGAGAGAGGCCAGCCCTGTGCCCCCACCCACCTCCCCGCTCCTGTCTTGCAGAGGAGCCCACGTTCCGCTGTGAGGAGTGCGACGAGCTCTTCCAGTGCAAGCTGGACCTGAGGCATCACAAGAAGTACGCCTGTGGCTCAGCGGGGGCCGTGCTGTACGAGAGCCTGGGGGACGAGCTCAAGCCCGAGGGCCTCGGCGGGGGCAGCGATGGGCAGGCCCATGAGTGCAAGGACTGCGAGCGAATGTTCCCCAACAAGTACAGGTGCGCCCCGGCCACTGGCAGCAGTCCAGCTGGTATCAGAGCCACAGGTGTCCCCTGGTCTCAGGTCCAGTGTCCGGTCCGCAGGAAGACCAGCCATCCCCAGTCAGGGCCCAGCCGGACACACACACAACTCCATCTCAGTCAGTGAGCTGGGAAGGGGTCATGTGGGTCCCCTTGTCCCAGACCTGGCCTCTGCTCCCCTTGGGGGCCCTGGGCCCTATGGGGGATACCAGGGGGATTGGTCCCTAGTCCCAGGGAGCCAGGAACTTTTCCCCAGGGTTCCTCCTGCCGCAGCAGTTTCCTACAGGACAGACTTATAGTCAGAGAAAAACCCACAGGCCACTAACCACTGTGAGGCAGGGGCTTTACCGTCCATCCCGGCCCTGGCTCCCCGGGGACACAGACCTCCACCCCGCACAGATGACCGAGAGAATAAGCGTGTGTGCAAATTCCCACTGAGCCCCGGCGCAGTGAGCACCGCTAAAGAGGGTCCCTGTTTTCTTTACATAAACACATAAATCACAATTAACAACAGGGAAAAGATACAATCTCCGATGCAGGAGAAGCAGGCGTTTCTGATCTAAATGGATGGCTGGGCCCCGTAATTAACGGGCCGTGATATATTACTGCTTCGCTCATGAAGATTAACGGTCATCCCAGGGATGGGGGTCCTCCGAGAGGAGGGGATTAGAGCTGCTCATTCAGCCAAGAGAGTCCCCCAGCAGCTGCGCTCCCCGATGCACACAACCCCATCAGTCTCCCTGTGCCTGACTCGGTGGGTGGCTGGGGTGCCCGGCCTGGCCCTCTGTGGGGCTCATGCAGTGTTGAAGTTCATTGACCCCATTGTTTCTAGTCCCAAGCCCAGCCTCAAAGTTGGGATCACCCAGAGGGGTGGCCAGGGCACAGAGGGCTGTGGTCACCCCAAAGGAGCACCCAGAACTGTTCTGATGGAGTTGGGGCCTCTGTCCTGGGCAGAGGGCAAGCAGAGAAGCCCCAAGTGACCCCTGTCCCCATGTGCAGCTTGGAGCAGCACATGATCGTCCACACGGAGGAGCGGGAGTACAAGTGTGACCAGTGTCCCAAGGCCTTCAACTGGAAATCCAACCTCATCCGTCACCAGATGTCCCACGACAGCGGCAAGCGCTTCGAATGTGAAAACTGCGTGAAGGTACTGGCGGTGTATGCCTGCCCGAGGTCACCGGTGGCCTTCCCTGTGACTGTGGAGGACAGGCAGGCTCAGATATTAGCTCGGAAGGGAGAGGGCCAACACCGGAACCCTGGTCCTCCCCCGCACCCCGGCGGCTCTGTCCTCATGCCAGTGTAGACAGGAGAGGCCTTCACGGGTCAGGGGTCTTCAGCTAAACTGGCCTCTGCTGTGCCTGTACAGCCTCGTGGGCAGTTTTCTTGGGAGTCACTGCTGAGGAAGCTGAGGCTGGGGAGGTGTGGCCACTGGTCCAAGGCCCTCAGCGGATCAGTGCTGCAGTGGACATCCGGGCTGGCCAGCTTGGGCAAGAGGGGCAGAGGGGAGAGAGACAGAGCCCAGACTTCCTGCCCCAGGGCCCGATGAGGGTGTCCAGGCAGGACGAGGGTGTCCAGGCAGGGCGTGGGCCAACGGCGTCTGCTCCCCAGGTGTTCACGGACCCCAGCAACCTACAGCGGCACATCCGCTCACAGCACGTCGGCGCTCGGGCCCACGCCTGCCCCGACTGCGGCAAGACCTTCGCCACATCCTCTGGCCTCAAGCAGCACAAGCACATCCACAGCACGGTCAAGCCTTTCATATGTGAGTCGCCCACCTGTGCCCACTGTGCTGCCCCTGCCCCTGCCCCACACGAGGTCAGCTGAGGTGTGATGCCCCTGGGCCCTCCCCATTCAGGGGGCTCAGAGCCCCTCATGGCCCGGAGGCCCTGCAGCCATGCGGTGCCCTCTGAGGGACATTGTGCCCTCTGTGTCCCTCGCATTCTGGCCTCACCCTCCCAGGACTCTTCCCTTGCCTTTCCTGTACAGCTGCGAGGTAGGCAGTGAGTGGAGGCCAGGTCATTCTAGTGACCCAGCATCCTATGTCCCCTGCCTGCCCAATTCCGTTCACACTCACCGTGGCTGAGCTCCATGAGCAGTGTCCTCTGAGAAGCCTGTGTGTTCCCGCTGTGTGTGCCAGGCATGCTGAGGGTGGCCGGGCCAACAGAGATGAAGTGGCCCCTGTCCTCATGGTGGTCATGCTCTAGCGGGAAGAGACAGGCAAGCGCTGAAGAAGGCAACAACATGACAGCCTGGGGACAGTAGTGCAGGGTTGGGGCTGCCCCGCACATGTGATGAAAGACCGGGCAAGGGAGACTCAGAATGTGGGTTCAGAGGTCACCAGGGTCAGGTCCAGGGGCCTATGGGCAGTACAGGAAGGGTGGCTCTGATTCCTAGTAAGTTCAGAGGTCGTGAGCATCATGCTGAGTCACCAGACACCACCTCCTACTAAGTCATCCTGTTGTCTACTGTCAAGGGTTCTTTGGCTCAGTTTGGGTGTAAATCTGAAAGGACAAAGCACAGACTGTGCTGCACCCAGCTCCCGGCTCTGTGTCCCAGCTCACCTTGGCCTCGCCGAGGGCAAGGAGGACAGCACGGGGCAAGCAGCACTTCGTGAACGGGCTGCGCTGGGATTCGTGCTCAAGAACAAAGCAGACAGTGCCGTGGGAAGGGTTGCCTGCAGCCACAGGGAACAAAGCTTGTGCTGACAGAGGAGCCGGACTCGTGCATGCACAGTCGGGCATCACCCAAGACCTATGATGTAGGCACATGCCTTGTCAGGCTGTGCTCTCGGTACACGGCACACTGCTGTATGCATGTTCACTGGGCTGTGTGTCTGCCACAGGCAGCCTATGTGCAGGGCTCAGGGGAAGCCTGGGGGAGTCAGCAGCTCCTACACCTGGTCTCTGGCACAGAGCCGAAAGCAGCTTGCAATCAGTGGGAACCCTCGGACGGGACACCAAGGCCCTCCTGGCTCTGTCTCAAGTACACACACTCATCACAGTCATTACACATCACAGAGCCATCACATGTGGCCATTGTGCCAACTTGTCACACAGACCATGCTGAGTTATCACTCCTGTTCTGAGTCACCGCACCTGTGCTATGCTCTGCTGAGTCATCACTCACATGCTGAGTCATCACATATGTGCTGAGTCATCTCACCTGCACTCTGCTGAATCATGCGTGATTAGTCATCACTCACATGCTGAGTCATCATACCTGTGCTGTGCCCAGCTGAGTCTCATTCACATGCTGAGTCATCACACTGGCACTCTGCTGGGTCATCACACATGCTGAGTCATTATTCCTGTGCTCTGCTGAGTCATCACATACATACTGAGTCATCACTCACACGCTGAGCTTTCGTGCCTATATTCTGCTGAGTCATCACTCACATACTGAGTCGTCACACCTGCTCTCTGCCGAGTCATCATGCGTGCTTAGTGGTTTCCGAACTGGTGAGTCAGCATTCCCTGTGCTGTATACATTCAACCTTCCAAAACGCTACAGATCAGGTCTCTACTCTCCAGCAGACAGAAAAGGAAACCGAGGCTGCTGGACTTTTAAGGACCAGGCACTCAGGCCAGTAGGGCCCAGATTACAGTTCAAGGGGCCTGGCCATGACCCCAGGCCAAGTGGCCCCAAGCCTCAGGCTCCCTCATGTCTGTAGGGCACAGAGTGACTGGGAGCTGGGGACTTGGGGTCAGGGAGTTCTTGCTGGGATGGGGGCCACTTGGCTGCCAACCACCATCCCAGAAAGGCAGTGCTGGCTAGCTAGCCACACCTTTGTCAGCTACCAGGGCTATGCCCTGTTCCATCTGCCTCCCCTAGGCTAAGCTCCCAGGCATCTAGCTAGAGACAGCTGAGCTCCAGCCTTGCCCAGGCACTGGAGTCCCAAGCCAAGGAACCAGTCAGCCTACTGCCCAGTCCACCAGTGCTGCTTGGTCACCACGGGCCTCCTCCCTCACTACAGGGGGCACTGGCCATGGTGTGACCAACCCCCTCGTGCCATCCGGGGAAGCACCACCTCCCTGTGGGAGGGCCCCAGAGGTCGAGCTGGGTCAGGGGCAGGCAGTAAGCAGCAGCAGGAAGGGCATGCATGCTTGTGTGTAAATAGTAGCTTGGTGTTCTAACGCAAGCTAAGGCTTGGAAGACTGGGTGCTCAGGCATCACTGCCTCTCTGCTCTTCCAAATAAGACTTTTCAAATCCCCTTGGAGCATGGCGTAAGTTCCAGGAAACCCAGCACCTGATGGGCTGAGCCTGCCGTCTCCACTGTGCTGCACAAGCTCCCACATGATAGACAGGAGCCAGGGACACACCCAGCCAGCTTGGCCAAGGCCAGGGTCCATGGCACCCAGTGCCTTTTGACCAAGGGGAGTAAGCTAAAAGGAAACCCCAAGACGTGTCCCGATGGAGTCTGTGAGCGCATCGTTCAGAGATGGTGACACGAGTGTCAGAGATGAAGTGAGACATGCAGCTGTGTGCATTCTGCAGGCCACGGCACAGCACCCTCTGGGCATGTGAAGGGCCATAGGCAGCTTGGGAAGGAAACTGCAGGCCAGTGAGGTCCCAGGAGGGCTCTGAGTAGTCAGCTCCTGGCTGGACACTGTCTACACTCAGACCTGTGCCCACCTGCTGCTCACACCTGGGTGCACATCCAGTGCTTGGACGCCTCCAGATCCCCACCCTGCTGACCACTGTCCTAGATGGCGTCCCTCCTCCTGGGGAGCTCAGGTGTGCACCAAGGATATGTGTGCATGCACATGTGTGTGTGCATGCACAAGAGAGAGGAGGCGGGGGAGAGTGTTTGTGACAGAAGCAGGTGGCCTCCTCCTCGTGGGGACTTTCAGAAAGGACCTGTATGAGAACAAGTGCATGTTTCTGTTTGAGGGTGTGTAGTGTGAGCTGTGAGTGAATGTGTATGCATCCAGACATGTGCCCTTTGAGGAGAAGTCACTGCTGAGCCAGATGGGCACTGGCCAGGGCCCCTCTTGTCCTGGAGGTCCACCGGGCAGGCCCCCAGATCCAGGTCACTGTCACTGCCAGGCCTGTCTCTGTCCTGCATAGCTGCCTCCCTTGACAGCTCTGAGATGGCTGTCATATGTCCCCACCAGCCAGGACCTGTCCCTTCTGGGCCCTCCATGTCCCTAGGCCTCCCTGCAACCCCGCCCACTGCAGGCCTCGTCATGGGAGCAGTGAGGGTAACCGAGTATCTCTGTGTCCAGGCCCAGCACTGGCCCACCGGCCCTCCTCTGCTGCCCTGGAGGGCTTGGAGATATTTCCCATGCTCAGACTGACAGCAACAATGACTGGCACTGCCCGGACCCTGAGGGACCCAGGCACAGCCGGTGTCACTCGTGTGCCTGGCTGGCTGGAGCAAAGGCCTGCCCTTCTCCACTGTGTGGGCCAGGCAGGGCGTGAGGGGTATTTATAGACCCTTCCCTGGCAGAGCCTCTCCCTGCAGCCTCCTAAAAGGGGAGATTTGATTAAATGCAGCAAAGCTTGGCTCCCTTCGGCCAGAAAACACCCTGCCAAGCCAGAGGGCCAGGGTGGCAGCATGGGTCACAGAAATGGATGCCATGATGAGAGCACCTGGTCACCTCAGAGCACAGGTGCCCAGGTAGGGTCCAGAGAACAGGCAGCTGAGGACTGGGGAGAGCAAGAGGCTGTCTGCAGTCACGTGCCCACTGGGGTCACCCTGAGGAGTAAACGCCGGTGGAGAGGGGCACAGGGCCTTGTGCACCTGATCACAAGCACCTGCCCTTCCCAGAAAACAGGACGGGACTCTTCACCAAGGACAGCTTTGTGGTGCCCCTCGGCTTCTGGGCACTGCTGGAGAATATACATGTACTTTCGTACACATACACGTGGCACACGTGCACATGAGGCACGCAGTGCACTATGCCCTGTGCACACGCACTTACGGTATGTGTGCACCCCCGTGCGCACAAACACATGCACAGTATATGCATATGCCCTTGCACGCATGCAGGACAGGCACACTTGGCGCCCCACCAGGCCAGGGTTCCCAGGTCATTTCATACCTGCTTGTCTTTGTTTTCCGCTGGTGCTTTAGGTGAGGTCTGCCACAAGTCCTACACGCAGTTCTCCAACCTGTGCCGGCACAAGCGGATGCATGCTGACTGCCGCACCCAGATCAAGTGCAAGGACTGCGGACAGATGTTCAGCACTACCTCGTCGCTCAACAAGCACCGGCGCTTCTGCGAGGGCAAGAACCATTACACGCCAGGCGGCCTCTTCACCCCGGGCCTGCCCTTGACTCCCAGCCCCATGATGGACAAAGCCAAGCCCTCCCCCGGCCTCAGCCACGCCAGCCTGGGCTTTAGCGAGTACTTCCCGGCCCGGCCACAGCCCGGTAGCCTGCCTTTCTCCGCTGCCCCGCCAGCCTTCCCTGCACTCACCCCCGGTTTCCCTGGCATCTTCCCTCCGTCCCTGTACCCCCGGCCGCCTCTGCTACCTCCCACGCCACTGCTCAAGAGCCCCCTGAACCACACCCAGGACGCCAAGCTGCCCAGCCCCCTAGGCAACCCGGCCCTGCCCCTCCTGTCCGCGGTCAGCAACAGCAGCCAGGGTGGCACAGCAGCCACGGGGCTGGAGGAGAAGTTCGAGAGCCGCCTGGAGGACATGTTCGCAGACCAGGTCAAGGCCCGGAGCCCTGACATGTCCGACGGCAGTGACTTCGAGGACATCAACACCACCACAGGCACCGACCTCGACACCACCACGGGGACGGGCTCCGACCTGGACAGCGACATGGACAGCGACCGTGACAAGGGCAAGGACAAGGGCAAGCCAGCCGAGGGCAAGCCCGAGTTCGGGGCTGGCTCCACGCACCCTGGGGCTGCCAGCGGTGCAGCGGAGGTGCCGGTCTTCTACTCCCAGCACTCCTTCTTCCCGCCGCCCGAGGGGCAGCTGCTGGCCGCCCCAGGTACCCCTGGAGACTCCATCAAGGCCATTGCATCCATCGCCGAGAAGTACTTCGGGCCTGGTTTTGTGGGCGTTCAGGAGAAGAAGCTGGGCTCGATGCCCTACCACTCCGTCTTCCCCTTCCAGCTCCTGCCGCACTTCCCACACTCCCTCTATTCCTTCACGGACCGTGCCCTTGCCCACAACCTGCTGGTCAAGGCTGAGCCCAAGTCCCCACGGGACGCCCTCAAGGCGGGTGGCCCCAGCGCCGAGTGTCCCTTCGACCTCACCACCAAGCCCAAAGAGGCGACGCCCATCTTGCCGGTGCCCAAGGTGCCCTCCGGCCCTGTGTCTGGTGAGGAGCAGCCACTGGACCTGAGCATTGGCAGCCGGGCCCGCGCCAGTCAGAATGGCGGCGGTCGGGAGCCCCGCAAGAACCACGTGTATGGCGAGCGGAAGCCAGGGCCTGGCGAGGCACTGCCCAAGGTGTGCCAGGCGCAGCTGCCGCAGCAGCCGTCCCTGCACTATGCCAAGCCCTCGCCCTTCTTCATGGATCCCATCTACAGGTATTAACACGCCCCGCCCTTGCCCGCTCTCGCCAGGGCCCTGCGGGAGCTGGGCGGGGTCCGTGCCCCCAAATGTCCCCCTCTTCCCCTTCCCTGGGGTCTACACCCTCGGGAGGGCAGCAGCCTGGTGTGGAGGCCAGGGAAGTGTTCAGATGCTTTCAATTCCTTGCTCTGTGAAAGACTCAGACACCCTTGCCTGGCCTGGTGCCCCTGAGGGGTTCCACCTCAACCCCCAGCCAGAGCCCCCCAAGACCCGGAGGTCATCTCCCAGAGTGCCTCCCCAAGGCCGCCCCGGTCGCCCCCAACCCACCCTGGAGCCACACCGGGGAATTTCGGTGGACGGACTGTCATAGAGGGGGCCCCTGGTGCCTGGGTGGAGAGGAAGAGGAAGGAAGGGAGTCTGGAGGCCCGACAAACTGCACTGTGTCCAGGCAGATAGGTGGGAGACCAAGGCAGGTCCCGCAGGAGGCCACCAGGCCACGACCCTGAGCGGAAGGCCGTGCACCAACAGCCCGGGCCAATGTGAGGGAGTGCGCTGTGCGCCTGGGTGTGCAGGGAGCAGGCGCAGCCCTAATGGCTGTGTGGCTACTGTCCCTGCCAGACTGGCACTGTGTGAGGACAGGACATGGCCCTCGATGCTGAAGGTGGCCGTCTCACTGCTCTTTTGGGAGGCTGAGAATGAAGACAGAGCCAATTATGTCAGAGTGAGGCCAGCAGAGAGCTGCCATGCCCCGAGGCACCCTTCACTCTGCCCACAGCTTCCCAAGCCGGGATTCAGCACACCGGGTCTGCAGCTACTCCTGGCCCTGCACCCTCTGCCACCGCTCACATGGCAGGGAGCTATCGGCCCAGAAACCCTTGCCCCTGCAGTAAGGGTCCCAGAGGCCCGAGAGGCCCCATCCTCATGGGACGCAGTCTTCCCAAGTGTTCTGGGGTCCCTTACAGTGCAGCCTTGGGCCGGCTCTGATGGCCACACCCGCTCCAGGGCAAGGACATAGGAAATGAGGTGCCTGGACACTGACTCAGACCAGGTCAGCAGGCACTACGAGGTCAGAAACACACAAGATAAAATTAGGTGAGGTCAGGGTCCCGGACCTCCACAGCCAGGAGACCACAGCACAGGAGGGGCCACTGCCCACCAACCTCAACAGGATCGGGTGGGCAACTGGACCCTCACTCAGACCCTGGGGCTGCGGTCAGGGGCCCTGCGGGCCTCTTCCCCACTCCACCCAGGACCCCAGACGCCCACCTCCCCAGGGCTAGGGTCAGGGGCCTTCCGGAAGCTGCAGGAGAGGAAGAGCTGCAGGGTTACCATGGTCCCTTCACACACACACGTTCATACTCATACGCTTGTACTTATTCACACTCATGCAACACACACGCACATACTACCATAAGTCACACTCACATAGTGTTCACACTATTAGTCACACGAACTCACACACTTGTGCTCATTCTTACCCACTCATACACTCATTGTGCACATGCATGCTCATTCACACACAAATACACACATTCAGTCAGGCTCACCCACACTGCCACGCTTGCACCCTATTCAACCTTCCTTATGTGTGCATTCACATAGACTCTCACACTTGCACTCGTGTGCATACACTCACATGCACTCTCATGCACTCTTGTACCCCAGGCCCCGACAGGCACGTCTCGGCGGCAGTGCCTGAGCCCGTGTCCCCAGGTGGGCCTGGACAGTCCCCACAGGAAGGTGGCCCAGAGGCTCCCACCTGGGGCTGGGGTCCGAGAGTTGCAGCTTGCCCCAGGTGCCCTCCTCACCCATGGCAAAGCCCACCCCCTCCCTCCCTCTGTAGGCAAGGCCCTGTTAGATCACCCACTGGAGCACGGAGGCAGATCTCTCACCCCCAGTGGTGCCCACACAGCTGGCACATGCACCCAAACCCAGCACCTCCATGTCTGTCCCACCCTGGCAAGGACCTCAGCCTCCCCACCTGGCTGAGGCTCCCTGGGGTGGCCCGGGCTGGCCGTGCCGTCTTCCTTGTCCCTCCTGTGGCTACCTGTCTGCCCATTCTGTCTCTGGGGTTGGGGAACAAAGACTGCAGGGGGCAAAGCTGGAGGAGGGAGGGGACCAGGATAGGCCTGTCCCAGCCCTGGTCCTACGATGCGCCTGACCATGTCAGGAGGCTCACAGCACAAGGCAGCTCTGGGAGAGCCAGAAGGGGCAGGACAGGGATGTCGGGGCAGCGCTGAGCCTCCAGGGACCTACTGTGCTTGGGGACACAAAGGACTTACTGTGGGGCCCCCAGAGAAGACTCAGGGCTCCCACTCCGAGCACGCCTGGCCCCTGACATGCTCGGGAGCTGAGTGTTCGGAGGACACCAGGAGCCCATCGGTGATGGCTGGAAGTGAGGCTTTAGAGGGAGAGGGTTGGGAGCAGAGGGTCTAGGAGTCCAGGCAGGTGACAGGGGAGTCAGGTGAGAGGCGGCGGGGCAGTTGTGTGACCACATGGGCACAGACATGCACCCTTGGGCAGCCGGGTGGTTCCGTGGGGTCCGTAACCCTCTCTGTTGCCGTCCAGCAGGGTAGAAAAGCGGAAGGTGACAGACCCGGTGGGCGTCCTGAAGGAGAAGTACCTACGGCCATCCCCACTGCTCTTCCACCCTCAGGTAAAATTCATGGTGGGCAGCAGGACGGGATGGGGTTCATCTGAACCCCGTGGTGAGCACAGGGCCAAGTCCCCTGGACCTGGGCACATAACCCCTGCCGGCTGGCCCTTCAGAGGCAGAGGGGATCCCCACGGTCATTGCAGGGCTGGAAGGAGGAGGAAAAGGATGTCTGCACCACAGCAGCCCCACCTTCAGGTGGGCCCATGGCCCCAGCTTGGGGCAGCCAGGGAGATGAACTTAGTGACAGGTGACAGAGCTGAGCCAGGGCCGAGTTTGGACAGAAAGGAGCAGACTCCTGCAACAGCTGGGCTGAGCCAGCCTTGCTGGGACAGGGATAGCAGTGGCAGGAGGGGGCACACTTCCGGGACCAGAGGGAAGCAAGGCCACACTCCTTGGGAGTCTGGGGGCTGCACACCGGACACAGACCCCACATCCTACCCTGGCCACATCCTCCAGGGTAGACAGTGCCATCTGTGGGCTGCCTGTCCTCGCTGGATGGGCCCAGCCCCCACCTCTTGGCCACAAGTCACTGTCCCTGCCCCTCCCCCCAGAGGGTCCCGGAGCCACACAGGCCACACTCGCAGTCCTGCACCCACCAGGGCATTGTTCTCTGCTCCTCTGTGTTTCCCGCCCTGGACAAACCCCGCTTGTGAAACCTGGGCCCTGGCTGAGTTCACAGCTAAACTTAGCGCCTCCCATTGTTTCTTGGGCCGTTCAGTTTGGTTAATAGCTTCCCCCGATTTTCCTCGGGACGGGCTGGCGAGGGCCGACAAGCCAGCCAGGCACATCCTGTGTTTGTGTCTGTGCAGGGAACAGCCGCGCGGGTGAGGCCACCCGGGCCTGAGGGAGAGGCCCGAGGGGCCGGCTACCCATTGTCTGTCGCCTGTGCCCCCCTCAGCCTGCCACCCTCTGCTGCCCTGCTGAGAGGAAGGGGCAGGGAGGGATGACTAAGGTCATGCGCTCCTGGGCTGCAGGTGGGCTGGCGCTCAGGCAGGAGCCCCAAGGGCTCTGTGCTGAGGTTGCCCGACCAGCGCAGTGTAGGTGCTCACGGTGTGGCCAGGCCCCACCCATGAGGCTGAGGTGTCCTTGTGATGGCTGAGTAGAGCTGGGGTCAGAGCTGCCCAGGGTCCCCTGGCAGCAGCCAGGGTCAGAGGGAGGGACACTTCCACCTCCACCTTGGTGTTTCATGGTAACCAGCAAGCCATCCACAGTACCTAAATGTCCACTGCTCGAGTGTGACGCCCAGGGACACTGCCGAGACTCCTCTGTCCCCTGCCAGCCGTGCCCTGAGTGGACGCCTGACACACAGGGCTCTGGCATTCAGATGAGGGGCCGTGGGGCCGAGGACTGGGTGGCTGCAGAAACCCCCAGCTGTGCGCTGTGCCTACCCTGGGGCAGCTGGGTCGGGTTTCTGCGAGAAATGACCAGGTGCTGTCCACGAGGTGCAGCGCTCCACACTGCCCATGGGCAGGGGGCCATGCACAAGGGCCTGTGCTTCCTCCCCTCATCCTCCATGCCCCTAGGCCCTGGCTGCCCACCATGCCCTCCCCTCCGTCTGGGGCACCACCTTCACCCACCCTCGTCAGCCCTCCATCCACATCTCCCAGGCAAAACCAGCTTCCGCAGGTGCTGGCCTAGCACAGGTGCTCATGATACTGCTGCAGCCATGACCCCAGGGTCATGGGCATTTCCTCCTGAGTTCCTGCATCACACCGAGGGCGCTGGGTACGATGGACCCGCCTTCCTGATGGTCAGGGGTACAATGGGCCCCTGACCAACCTCCCCGTCCCGCAGCACCCACAGAAGAGCTACAGGAAGCGTCACGGAGACCTGAGTGGCCCCACTGTCTCCTCCCCTCCTGTCACCAAGGCTGAAGCCTCAGCGAAGCAGCCAGTCAAGGGCTCCGATCAGAACTCTGTCCTCCAAGGGGAAAAGACCAATTCCTCTCCTCTCACCTCTGCGAGCAAGCCCATGGCGCCTCCAGGGGGCAGAGGCAGGTCCCTCTGCATGTGTCAGTTGTTCTGTGCGGTGTGACACTTGGCATTATCTTTCCAAATGTGCTTCTGGGAATCTAGCCTTAAAGGGCTGCTGTTCCCCTGCAATTATGGCATACTGCCACTAGGTGGTGGTGGTTCCCTGGTCCCCCTTCTGTGTTTTAAACAGATTCCTGCAGCAAGCTTCCTTTCTCAAGATTAAAAAATAGATTAAAAATAATAATGCTATGTGTAACCCAAACTGGACAAGAAATGCTGTCCAGGGTCAGCCAACTGCATAGCTGGCCTAGATCAGAAAAAGGGCTGTCTGGCCCCATGCTGTCCCACCCAAACCTGGCTGGTTGTGAAAGAAGAGCTCCAGCGGCACCCGGGGTTCCAAAGACCAAGGTGACAGAGGCCCCTGGGAGACCTGGATCCAGGAGCACTTGCAGATGTGCTCAGCCTTAAGGCATACGGGTGCCTGGGAGGGGCCTACGCCCCGTGGCCAGGTGGCAGCTGAGCCCGACATCCCTGACCTCTGCCCTCTCTCCTGCCAGCAGATGTCAGCCATCGAGACCATGACAGAGAAGCTGGAAAGCTTCGCAGCCATGAAAGCTGACTCGGGTGGCTCCCTGCAGCCCCTGCCCCACCACCCCTTCAGCTTCCGGTCTCCACCCTCGACGCTCTCAGACCCCATCCTCAGGAAGGGCAAGGAGCGGTACACATGCAGGTGAGGCCCTCGGGGGTGCAGAGGTGCTGCACACACTCCTCCTGGTGAGGCATCTTGGGTCTTGCTGTGCCAACAAGTGACGTAAGTCGGGCCTCCCCGCCACCTAATGCTGGTTTCCATGAGCCCACAGTGCAACCTCTGCCATCCTGGCTGAATCCAGGAGCCCAGAACTGGGCAAGGGGTCCGTGTGTGCCCACTGCTCTGTAAGACCAAAAATGGGTTCCAGGGACAAAGAAGAGACTGTGAATCAGGATTCAGGCAGCACCTCCGCCCAGGTGTGAGGCCTGGGGTGTCAGATGAGAGTGTCAGAAGAGGGGGATGGAGGTCACCCTACACCTCCCTCCTACTCCTCCCTCCACCCAGGTACTGTGGCAAGATCTTCCCCAGATCGGCAAACCTCACCAGACACCTGAGGACGCACACCGGGGAGCAGCCATACAGGTAGGAGCACCCTTGGGTGGGTGGCCCAGCTCCCAGGGGGCGCGTGATCGGTGTACCCGCCCTTGGAGAAGACTTGGCTGTTGTCAGGCTGCTCTTGCCAGGTCTGGCGGCTCCCTAGGCTCCTCGCAGCCCCTCACCTCCCACTCCCAGGGTGTTGAGGTGAGGCAGGAGGTACCCAGGAAACTGCTCACAGAAGGGTGCGGACAGCAACCCTCCTGCAGCCGTGATGCCACCCAGGGCAGGGCTCATCATCAGAGCACCCAGCACCTCTGCTCCTCTCCTGATGGCTGCAACTGCCCTCCCGATGGTGGACCAGAGGGCTCTCTGGACAAGTGTGGGTCCCCATCCTGCGCATGGGCACCGGCGATGGTGAAGGATTTGTGGCAGCCCTAGCTGGGAAGCCACGTCTGCCCCTTCCTCGCTCCTATCTCTTGGGGTGGGAAGTGGCCACACAGGGGAGGCAACCGTAGCACTTGGGGTTCAGAGCAGCTCCCCAGCGAGTCTTGCCATCCCCGTTCCAATGAGGAAGAGGCAAGGCTTGGAGATGACCGTCACTCAGAACCTGCTGCTACCTCAGCCTCAGCCTCCTGTCCTATTCTGCTTGGTCCCTGGAGCTTTGTCAGGCGGCAGCCCTGCCCAGCGCTCCTGGAGTTGACCTTGTCAACATAGCCCAGACGATTGTCACCCTGAGACACACGGGAAGTGCCCGTTTGTCTGCCAGGATTAGTTTAGTAACACACCGGGTGTGTCTGCCCAGAAAGGCCAGGGAAGAAAGGGTTTGGCTTGATTTGAAACTGATGGCATTTGATTCGGGTACTGCACCCACCCAGAGCTTGAGGCCACCAGGAAGTGGCCACAGGTTGATGCAGGTCCTGGGACTTGGTCTGTGTGCCCATTCCAGGGGAGGGGGCACAGGGCACAGCACATTTCATTGTCCCTGAGCCCCGCAGCAGCATCCCTGGAGTCCACAGCTCTGCTGGGGTCAGTGACAGCTTCCCAGCCACATGGCCTGCACCCGGCCCACCTCAACCCCTCCAGAAACAGTGACGACTTAACAAAGGCTAGCAACAGGAAGATTTATTTGGTCCAGTCGCCTCCTGGAAAGGGAGCCATGTGCTTTTTCTGTAACGAGAGCCGACTTTTGGACAGTTCTGCGTGCTAAAAGCCCCAGAGGGCCCAGGCTGAGTTTATAGAAGAATTTAATTATCATTGATTTCTTTTGCGCTCTTCAATCTGAGAGCTTCGACTTTGGTAACAATAATTGCTTTGCAAGTTTGTGTTGCAAATACTGACTTTATGTGGCTCAAGGCAGGTGGTGCAGAGGGGCTTGGTGCTGTGTGACTCCGGGGCTTGCTTTGAACCTCGGAAGGATTTCAGGCTGGAAGAGGAAAACGTAGCCCATCCCGGAAGCTCCTCAGAGAGGAGCGGACCTCTCCACGCCTGTCGGGTGCATGTGTGCCCCAGGGGCCCAGGTGTATGGGTGTGTGCCCAGGCACGTGAGTGTGCACTGAGTGTGTGCGCATGTGCTCGGGAGAGCCCAGGCCCTTCATCAGCAGGCTTTTCTCGGGTTTTCTCTGGCAATGGCATCAAAAAACCGGAAGTCTCTCCCTTTCAAGTCCTGCTCAGCTTGTGGAGGAGCATTCCAGGTGTGCCCCGGCGCTCTACAGGGTGACTCTGCTCTCCCACCCCAGGGCCCTTTGGGCAAGCAGTCTTCTGCTCTTGGCTTCTCCAGCCTTGAGCCCTGTGGGTGCAGTCAGAGGATAAGGTGCAGCGGTGCTACCCTGCACGCGGATGGTGCGGGGCGCAGTGGAAAGGGTGGAGATTGAACTGAGGACGGGAAGACTGCTCCCTAGTGTCTCCTGGCTGCTGGTGGCACCTGTGCCACACCTAGACGGGCCATGGAGGCTGGCCTGGGACCCCTCCCTGCCAGCTCCCCATCTGAGGAGCACCCTCCTGCTGAATGCTGTGTCCTCTCCTCCCTCCCAACCCGCTGCATCCATGCTAAGAGAGGCAAGTTTCAGGCAGCTCAGAGTTTATCGATGTACGGGCTCTGGGGCAGCTGTGATGGAGGGGGGCCATTGCCCCACCCCAGGCCTCTGATGTCGTGTTGGGCCTGTGAGGGCTGCTCACACACAACCTTCCCTGTGTCTGCAGGCAAGTCCCTGTCCACATGAGGGCAGGCTGGTGGCCAGTGTGTGGCCAAGGGCCGGGCCACCAGCATCAGGTCGGGGTGAGGGGGGTTTGGAGGCCCTGCCCTCCTGCTGGAATGCAAGGCGCTGTGTTGAGACCACCTTAAGGTGGGCATGAGCCCCACCTTCCCGAGGCTGCCTAGGCCCCACCCCAGAGTCTGCAGCACAGGGCATGCAGCAGAGCCAGCTTCCTTTCCAAATATGAAAATACATGATCACAGACACAAAATTCCCAAGCACTCTTGCACTGTTAGATGCAAATAAGTATCTCTGGAGGAGCTAAAGGCCAGGTGCACATAAGCGTGCTCACACACACAGGCATGCACACACGCTGCACATGTACACACGTGTGTAGCAGAACCAGAGTCAGTGTCCCCTCTGCTTGGTGTCTGGACAAGGGCATGGAGCCAGGTCGGGCTTCAGTCTGCAGCCACCCCTTCCTGGACCCCAGCCCTCTCCCAGCTCCCAGGGGGCCCTAGTTTCCCCCCATTCCTTTCCTTGCGGGCTTTTCTGCTGCTCTGCACATGCACCCCTGTGGCACAGGGAGGATGCCCTCAGGTTCCCAGCCCTGGCCACAGCTGTGCCCAGCACAAGGGCCCAGGCCCTAGTGCCCCTCGTGTGGAAGGGCCAGTGCATGCCCATGACCATGATCTGCAGGCAGGACAGTGTTGGCTGTGATCCACACGGGAGGGGCACCTTTTGCTGGTTTTCCCAATGTACAGTGCAGGCGGGGGAAGCCCTGCCACCTGGAGGGGGCATAGATAAATGGCACACTAGAGCCAACAGCACCTGAAAGGGTCTGTGTGGCTGGTGCCATCCTCAGCTCGTGGGCAGCAAGGCCAGGAGCACCACCCCCTCAGAGCAGCTAGAAGCCTTAAAGGAGGGCCATGAAGAGGCCCAAGATAGAGCATGACCACAGGCCCAGCCACACGGGACATCTGGACCAGGCCCTCCAGAGCTGCAGAGCAAGTGGCCAGAGCCAGCCATGTCCTCTGTCCTTCAGCTGGGAACCCGCCGGCAGCTCTAGGTGCCTTTCTGTGGTGCAAGGTCGCCCTCTTGTGGCTTCCAGGAGCATGTGGGCCTGCCAGCTTGGACAGGAGGCGGGAGGAAAATGCTGGGGTTCCCGGCGGCCACATGCCTAGGGGACAACAGCTTCCGGGAGAGGCTTGGGCCTTCTGGACCCCTTCCCACTAACGGCACCTGTGTTCCAGGTGCAAATACTGCGACCGCTCCTTCAGCATCTCCTCCAACCTGCAGCGGCATGTGCGCAACATCCACAACAAGGAGAAGCCCTTCAAGTGCCACCTGTGCAACCGCTGCTTCGGCCAGCAGACCAACCTGGACCGGCACCTCAAGAAGCACGAACACGAGGGCGCACCAGGTGGGGCTGGGTGCGGGACCCTAAGCCCCTTCCCAAAGGGCTGCTGTGTGCCTGGGGCCGGGAGCAGGCAGCGAGGATGCCCCTGACCCCACCTGTCCATCCATCCGTCTGCAGTGGGCCAGCACGCTGGGGTCCTCGCCAACCACCTGGGCACCAGCGCCTCCTCCCCCACCTCCGAGTCAGACAACCACGCACTTTTAGATGAGAAGGAAGACTCCTATTTCTCTGAGATCAGAAACTTCATCGCCAACAGCGAGATAAACCAGGCATCAACGCGGACAGACAAACGGTAAGAGACGCACAGGCGCAGGCAGAGCGGGGCTCTTTGCCTGCAGGGGCGAGGAGTGTGAGGGGTGCATTAGTGACAGGTGCAAGTGTGGGCCCGGCCGCTTGTGTCCCCATGGCCAGCGCCTTTGCCTGGTGTGGGGTGCTGCTGAGGACCCCTGGTGAACACCCAACACCTGCTCTGCACATGACAGACCGATTCTGATGAGCCTGCGGAAGCTGAAACTATGGCCAGCCGAGCCAGCGGCTGGGTGCACCGCCCGGCACACAGCCCGCCCGTGAAGGCAGGAAGTCTCCTTAGCTGGCCACACCCCTGCCCGAGAGACTGAGTGCAGTGCATGGCGGGGCGCTGGTCCTTCCTCTCCTGACTTCCCAGAGTCACGAGTGAGGGCTACACAGCCACGGCCTGCCAGAGAAAGCCCTGATCTGAAGCGAGGTCCCTGCCAAGTGCGCGTCACCGTCACATGGCCCCAAAGTCCAAAGCGCTAAATGGAGTCTAAGCTGGAGACCATCTGTGTACAACATGCAATTACACAGCACGCATGCAGCCGCCGCACACACACATGTGCATGACGTTAGGCACCCCGCACATATGTGCACATGTGTGTATACAGGCACACAGATCTCCCGAGGGAGGCAGAAATGCAGGACCCAGCTCCTGATTCACTTGCACCCTGGGCTCGACATCAGGAAGGCCCTGGAACCCTGGGCAGCAAGCTGTTCCTGGGCCAAAACTGAAGCCGGAGCAGCTGTGAGAAACAGAGGCGCTGCAGATCCTGAGAGGCCCCGGGAAGGGGCCCCCTGGCTCTGCAGTAGGGAACCCAAGGCCATAGCCGTGGTGCCGTGCTCCTGTCCAGGCCAGCTCAGAGCCTGCAGCCAGGCTCCTTACTGCACTGGCACCAGGGTCCACCCCCCAACCTCTAGCAAGCAAGAATGGGCCCTACCTCGACCCTGTGCCAGGCCCGTCTTCTCCAGGGCGGGGCGGTGTCATCCTTGGTCACTTGTGCCCCCGGGCAGGGTTGGGGGTGAGAAATTCACCAAAAGATCAGTGGCAGAAGCACTTGGACCCACTCTGCTACCAAATGTCTGTGTGGTGTCCCCAGGAAGATGACCTCACATGTAGGGTCCTCTGACCTTGTGCAGAGCCCAGAGTAGAGCCCACCCAGTAGACACCCTGGTGTCCCCATCCTCCATGCAGAGCTTAGAATGCACTGGAGAACCATCCACTGCTGGGTAGCTCCCAGCCATCCCTAGCCTTTGCTGAGAAAGTTCGGCTTCCCCAGCCCAAGGCGAAGCCAGACAGAAGCATGTGAGAATTCCACCTCATGCCTTGCCTGGTGCACCAGGACCAGAGTGTATGAGCTGCCAAAGTCCAGGGTCACCCAGAGATGTGAGGACACTCCCATAACCACCGGGAGGGGTGGCCACTCTGGAAGGAAGGAGGGCAGCATGTGGCTGTGGACAAGACCGCTGTCCTGAGCCTGGTCTTTATCGTGGAGCATTTCGACAGGGCTATCTCCTGCCGTCACAGCCCTGGGAACCTCCAGACAGTCTGTCCTCCTGAGGTGAGGTCACCAGGGCCCACCTGCCTTTGTCATGAGAGCCTAGGACTTCTCAGATGTCCCCATATTACTGACCCAAGGGAGCACAGAAGTAGCCTCCTTGGGGTTCTCCTGGATGGGGGCTGGGTCTCTGTGAAGGCGGTGCTGGAGACACGTGAGCGATCAGCATGCCACGTCAGCTGCCATGGGATGCCAAGGGCACCGGAGCCGGGCAGGCCGCGAGAATGGGCCACTGGTCCACGGCCTCCACTCCACCTCCTGAGCCCTATGCCGTGAGCGGTCCCAGCGGGAAGCTCTGTCATACACTGAGGGTGCCAGCTCATGCCCAGCCAGGGCCTGAGTTGTCCCTGTGGACATCACACCCCACACCCATGGAAAAGAGCTCACTCCCGGCTGCCTACTCCCCTGGCGCAGGGATGGCATTCAGACCCACCGTGCCCCTCCTATCCTCTGAGGGGCCCTGAATGCCATGTGTTCTCCCCAAGCAGGCACAGGCCCCAGGGTCCCCCGGGTACTCAGTGCTGGGGAGAGGGGCTGTGTGCAGTTTGCAGGATGGCCGAAAGGCCACCTGGCACTGCAGGAGTCTCGGCCATCCCTGAGGGCATGGCAGGACCAGCTCCTGTGCTCCCCGTAGGCCCCAGCTAAGGCCCTGTCCATGCGCCCTCTTGCCCAGCTCTGCACCCAATGCTGAGCCTACACAGATGCTGGGGCTCTGGGCGCAGCCATCAGGCCATCCCTGCCATCCTTTGCATCCTCCGCCCAGCAGTTGGGTCTGGGCTTCGAGAGGGCCCAGCGGGAGCAGACAGCCCAACCCCAGCCTCACTCCAGCACCCAGCCCCTGATGTTCCTTGGGATCCCTGCCAAGTCTCATGGTGGGAGAGGGCAGGGATGGGCAAAAATGAGCGATTCCAGGCCCTGGGCAAAGCTGACCTGAATGCCTGTCCGCCCCAGCCTCCCTTGTGGGTAGCCCCTGAGCAGTGCCCAACTCTGACACCAGCACAGGGCCACTTCCCATCCAGCCCAGCCACGCTTCCTCCCTGACACCCACACTTGGCATGAACCCTGAATGGTCTGTTGTCCATGCTCAGGGGCCTTGCCTGTCCTTACCACCCCGAGGCAATTTCCTTCCTCCTGGGCATCCCTACCTCCTCCCTCAAGAGCGAGGGAGGGGACCAGAGCTCCCTGCAAAGGTCGGTGGCCACCACCTCTCTGGGGAGGGCAGGGAGGGTCAGGAAGGCTGGTGGGTACCAGTTGAATGCTCAGAGTCACAGCTCTGGGGGCCTAAGCACAGCCAATTCGCCCACGGTTCCAGGCCAGAGATCCAGGAGCTGGACGGCGACCCCCAGTGTCCGGGCCTGGCCAGCGAGAAGCCAGAGGATGTGGAGGAGGAGGAGGAGGAGGACCTGGAGGAGGATGAGGAGGACAGCCTGGCAGGGAAGTCCCAGGATGAGGCGGTGTCCCCTGTCCCCGAGCCCCAGGGCGTCTATGAAGATGAAGAGGATGAGGAGCCACCCACCACCCTGGCCGTGGGCTTCGACCACACCCGAAGGTGGGGAGCGGCTGGGGAACTTGAGCGTCATGGGCGTCTCGCCCTTTGGCCTTCTCTGTCCTGGGCTCCCTGCCTGCTCAGCCAGTGTGGCTAAGGCTGGGTCCTGACAACAGCAGGAAGTGAGGGCCACACACACCAGGCCCCTTTGAGAGGCTGGAAAGACGCAGAACATGGGCCCCAGCCCTGGGCAGGACTCTGACCCATCCTGGAGCCCCACCCGAGGCCCAGCTGCACCCTGCCCCCTTCAGCACGCTTGACACCGCAGGCTCCCCATGTTGCCCTGCGTGAGGCCCTGGAGGTGCCGCTTCCTCCCGAGCTCCCCATCCTTGGAAGGGAACCAGGTCCCTCCAAAGTGGCCCAGCCTCAGAGAATGAGGCTCCTCTAGCTCCGTCTCTGAGGCCAGGGCCCCTGCCTGCCGCCCACAATGCGCATGCACACACTCAGCCCTTCCATGTGGCTCTCCGCACCCATGTGGCTTCTCCCACTTGTCTGTGTGTCCGTGTGTCTGTCCCCTTGTGCATGTGGCTCGTGGAGACAGTGGTGTGCATGTGGGCGCAGAGCCAGCCATGCGCCCAGGCAAGGCGGCCAGAGTGGTAACCCCAGGCCCCTCTCCCTGGTCCTTGGTGCAGGTGTGTTGAGGAGCAAGAAGGCGGTCTGTTAGCCTTGGAGCCCACGCCGACCTTTGGGAAGGGGCTGGACCTCCGCAGAGCAGCTGAGGAAGCATTTGAAGTTAAAGATGTGCTTAATTCCACCTTAGATTCTGAGGCTTTAAAACAGACCCTGTACAGGCAGGCTAAGAACCAGGTAGGTACCGCAGAGCCCTCCCCCATCTGCCGGGCTCCAATGGCAGTGGCCACCATGCCAGGGGACACTCAGGACTGCTGCACCCCATGCCCCCACAGCAGCTAGCAAGGTGCCCAGGGATCACAGCCCTCCTGCAAGTGGGGCAGTGCAGGCGAGGCTGAGAGCAGACAGGTGAGAGCTGGCCCCAGACACTAAGTATGGGCTGCTGACCTCTCCTCACGCCCCAGTGGGAAATGTCCACATGCAGATTCCACCTTCCCCGTTGCCTGAGTCTCCACACTCTGATTCCAGCCAGAGAGGACCTGGCAGCCCTGGCTTCTGCCAGGAAGGTGATCCACCAAGTGGTCGCTGCCTCCAGCAGCACCTGGTACAGGGTCCAAGAGGCCCTGCAGTGTGGAGTCCCTGGGCTTGTCCACGCACCGCAGCCCTCCCACCCCACGTGTCTCAGCAAGAGCCGTCTGCGTGTCTGTCTGCGTCTTTTACTAATTTTGTCCAGAGTGTTCACCTGCGGGGCCGGCGCCGGGCTCCCCAGCACCCCACCCTCGCCCACACCATGTTCAGAGGGTCCCTGGGTCCCGTGTCCTTCTGCTCTCAGGCAAGGGCAAAAGATGCCCCTGGGGTGTGTAAGGCTGAGACACCATCCTGTCCCACGATGTCACAGGACCATGAAAACAGGTGCCTGTCTCTGGGCCCACAGCCCCGCGGGCAGCAGGACTTTTGTTGGCATGGGGCCTTGGTGGTGACCACCCCCAGCTGCCAGGGCCGACCTCTACCATTGAGCTTTCGCTGGTCACCAGCAAGGAGACCAGGTGGGAGGTGACCACCAGCCAGCAGGCACTGCCAAAGAGAAAGGAACCCCATGTGCCCGTGGCCCTGGTACCACCCTGGGGCAGGTGGCACTGCCTCCCTCCCTGCTCTCACATCCACACAGGCACGCCACCTTCCTCTTCCAGTCGCGGGCAGTGTGCACCTCTCTGACCCCTTTGCGTCCTGTCCTTGTCCAGACCAGGGGCCAAGCAGGCCAGCGGGTGGTGGGCAGGGCAGGCCCCGCCATCTCGAACCCTCTCACCTGCGCTGTCGCTCTCCCCCAGGCATATGCAATGATGCTGTCCCTCTCTGAGGACACGCCCCTCCACGCCCCCGCCCAGAGCTCGCTGGGCGCTTGGCTGAACATAACAGGAGCCACGTCAGAGTCTGGAGCCTTCAACCCCATCAACCACCTCTGAGGGGCTGGGCCCAGAGGCCAGAGCCAGAGCATCTGCCGCGGGGCAGAGGGAGGCCGCGGCACCCCATCCTCCATGGCCCGGCACCGACTTCCCCTGTGAAAACTGAAAATCCAGCAGCCCCTAAGCAGTGGCTGAGCTCCCCTGTCTTCAAGGGCCAGTCGCGAGGACACCGTTCCATGAAGACCCCGTCATGGGGGCTGCCTGGAGGACCCACGCCCGGCGAGCATGACATCTCAGTCCACACCGGCCACCTCCGGGCACCTGCACGGCTGGAGGAGGGACAGAGGACGTGGATGTGCGCTGGGGACGGATATCTCTCTTGCCAGCGCTTTTCATAATGAAAGTGACAGGAATAACCCTTTTGGTAATTGTATTGACTACAGAGTCTATTTAAGCATGTGGGTTTTAAAAATAGACAGTATTTTTTAAAAATCAAAAAAATGACTTGCAAATTGTTTTTTAAAAGTAATTTTGCATTGCTTTGAAATTTCAGCTTATTTGCAAATCCAAACCTGCCTGGGCGGCCACACCAGGCTCGGGCGTGTCCTTTATACTGTAGATAATGGAGAATTTTCTATTTCTGATCCTATTTGTACAAGCCAAGGTGATTCTGGGTGCCCTGGAACCGAATGAGGGCCATGGAGCTGCTCTATGGAACAGCGGGTGGACTCTGCCAGGAACTTTTAGGCGCCCCCGTGTGGCCTGCGGAGGGACCCACAGGCCCCACCCAAGACCCCCAGTTCTATGGAGACCTTAGGAGTTGGGGGCCTCGGATCCTCCATGCAGAAGTGTGGCCAGGTGCCTGGTGGCCCTTCCAGTCCCATCTGTACCCCAGCCGTCCCCAGGCTGGGCCTGGCCTCTGCTCTCCTGAGGGCAGAACTGGAGGGCCACTGTCTGGCCTCCAGCCTCCCACCCGCAGCGGACCCCTGGCCACTGGGAGCCCTCCCCGCAGCCACTCGGCTCCAGGATGCCAAGCGCTACTGTGCCTAAAACTCCGGATCAACCACGCGGCCACTGCCTCCGCTCTCTGTGCAGGTTCTTGGCAGGCCAAAGTCGAGGACGGAAGGGTCCTGGGACCTGGTGCAGAGGGCGGAGAGGACACAGCCCTAGGGATTCCTGCTTTCTCCCTCTGGATGTGTCTGCTTCTCCTTTTGGATGGGCTTTAAATTATCCCCATAGGGGCCAACTTCAAATAATAATTTCTTTTCCCTGTTGGAATTTACCTTAATCTGTATATAACTTGTAATTTTTCTAATTCATTTCTTTCTTATTTTATTTCTTCCTTAACAGTATTTTTGGCATTAGACATTCTTATTGTGAAGAAATAATGTTAATATAAGTATCTAGTGAAGGACCAAAACCATGTGATAAGGTGTGTTGTGTGAGCATAACCAGGGAGTGGGGCGGTTTTTAATGTGCCAAATACCCCCGCGTGTCCCCACGAGTCCTGCTGTCACCGCTGCCCACTTATCAGACAATCATATTTTTTTGTTAAATTTGAGTTTCAGTCGCATTTGCATTTAAGACAGGTATTCTATTTATTTTATTGTTTGGAAAAGAAAAGAAATGAGTGTCCCAAGAAGAAGAGAAGAAAAAGATCGCCTGAGTTGCCCTTTAAGAAAGAAGAGCAGAAATGCAAAGTACATGAAGCAAGCCACGTTTGTGTGGGTTTGGGTCACGCTGTGGACATCCGTCGACGCGTGTCCGAGGGGCAACAGGGCGTGTCCGAGAGGACTTGTCCCATGCATGTCCCAGGCACTCTGGGCCACAGACAGTCTACTGCGTTGGCGCCGGGCTGCACCAGCTGGCCCTGGAGGCTCGAGATGGGTTTGCCATGGACCACACAGACCCAAAGATCATGGGGATTTTGCTAAATCCAAGCAGCGTGGCAAGATGGAGAGTCACCTGTGCGTGCGCAGACTGGAAAGGCCCACAGAGCAGCTGGCTGCTGCGCTCCATCGGGATTTCTGAGCACGAGCTCATCCAGGCCTGCCAGGTACCGGCATAGGAATTTGCAATTTCCTCTTAACCTAGATGGGATCCCTGTAAAACTCCAGCCTCACATACAAACACCCCATTTCTGTAAACCCAAATTATATAATTTCTTCTGCGAAAGAATACGGTGTGTGCTCTTTTTTGCGATGTGACTCTGCAAGTGGGAAGTGCGGCTGGATGGAGACCGCGCTGCGCCTCGAGGGGCTTTCCCTCTGAGCCCCATCCAGGCGGTCCTCCAGGCTTCTCTCCCCGCGCTGTCTTCTCTACCATCCTCCTTCCCCTCCCCCAGGAGCCCTGGTTGGACCTTTAAGTCCTGTGTTTTTGTCCCCCCAGGAGTGGTGACAGCAAGCCCAGCTTCTCCTGAACACTCAGCCCGCAGGCCCCAGCACTAGCAACTTTGGGAGGCTCTGACCTTGAATCCCTGACAGACAGAGCACTTGTCTCCCACACTGGGACAGCCCAGAAACGGGGCTCCACGCTTGGCCCCAGATCCAGCCAGCTCCAACCCATGCTCTTCCCTGCCCTAGTGGCAGCACCAGCCCAGATATGCTGGCCCACTCTGGCCCAGTGTCCTCAGTACCAGGAGACCAGCGAGGACCAGGGGCCAGGCCTGGTATTAGCATCCTGAGATCCTGGCCTCTGAGCAGCAGGCAGTCACCTCACTGGTAGTATGGACAGAGGTGGGACCAGACAGCTGGGCTGCTGACCACTCCCTGAGAATGTGGTCAGGGTGGAGCAGGGATGCCATGGGGCGGGGTGCCTAGACCGCTGCCCTGACCCCAACTCCTTTGGACAACCAGCCTCAGCCCCAGGCAGAAATTCAGGCTCCCAGCACCTCCCCTCCACCATCCTCCAGCCCCGGCCCCCGGTGCCCTGTTGCCGCTGTCCTCCCTGGACATTTGGGTAGGACACACGGCACCCCGCAGGTCCCGGTGCACAGCCCGGGGGGTGTGGCAATAGACGGGCAGGTGGGCAGGGCCTGCTTCCCGAGACCCAGAGTGTAGCTGGTTGGTCAGGCACTGACGGACCCAAGCCAAGCACCTCAGGTCCAGCCCTGCAGACTCAGGGACGTGGCTTCCTCTGCCTGCAGCTCCTGGAGTGATCCCAAAGCTCTTGCTAATACATACCACGTGTTCTAGATGCAGAGCCACAAAGCACTGGATTGCGGCCCCACCCCTGTCCCCTGCCCAAGCGACTGAAACCTACTGAGCTGTATTCACTGTGCTGTTCTGGGAGGGGAGAGGAGGACTTGCCCCGCACTGCTGCCAGGTGGGGGACAGGGAGCCCTTGCTGGGACTCTGGGACACAGCTGCTTAAGGCTCTCAGAGCCAGCCGGGTACCAGAAGCCATGAAACTGTGTCTGTAGCATCGAATGATACTGTGATGAAGACCTTCTTGCATTTTTCCGAGAAAAGCTCCTTTTTCCATTCCATTCTCTGTTTGTTTGTTTCCTCCTTTTCTGTCACTGGTCCAAATTACCACTTGTGGGGGGGGGGAATACAATAAATAAAGGCAGCTCGCGTTTCACACGTACAGTTCAGTCGGGAGCAGAGGTTGCTCTGCGCGTCCCCTGCGCGCCTCTCGCCCTTGCAGGTCTCCTCAGAGCGCGTGTGATTGAGAGTGTGTGTGCGCGTACGTCCGCTCGGTAGTACACGTGTGTACGCAGGACCCAACCTGCCTGGCCATCGCCATTGCATTCGAATTTGGTTTAGTTCCTGTTTCGTTTCTTTTAGAACTGTATAGGGCTGAAAGAGAAATCAAATGTAAATGTCTGGTTTTCACATATTGTTTAAAAAACAAAACAAACAAACAAAAAAGAACACTGAGGAGGAGGTGGGTGCCGACCCCGCCCCTGTTACTGTAAATCGCTCGTTGTGTTTATGAGTGAACTGTGCATGGCTCGTGTTTCGCGGTCATTATGGTGTCTGTTCGTGAAATTTTTATGACAAGGAAAATTCCGTAGACGCACTTACTGAATATGTGATTAGGGTCAGTGGCAAGACGAGAGCCCCGAACGGAAGCCCACGCCGAGGGCCTGTTCCTAACTGATCAGAAACGGCTGTGGGAGAAGGAGAGAGACAGACGTGTAGGAAGTAATCAAAAGAGCGATTCTGCAAAATTCATTTTGATGCTTGTGATAAAGACAGATGTACTTGTGTAGAGAAATCCCTTTACGAACAAGCCTAGGAGATGCTGATTTGGAGGCTAATGCTGTAGAATAGGACTGTATACCAAATGTAATCTTTCCGATGCTACAATGAATTTATACATGAGATTGATATGCAATAAATCTGTGTGCTTTTCTAAGCCTTGGGCCTGCGAGCTTCATTGAGAGAGGGCCGAGGCCACCGGGCAGGAGAGCAGGGGCAAGGTGGGACCCCCAGCCCCAGCCTTGAGTGAGGAGTGAGGGCGCCGGAAGCCTCCTCCCCAGCTTGGCCAGATGGGGCTGTTCCAACTTCCAAAGAAAACCAGCTGCTGGAGGGCACAGCTGCCCTGGCCAGGGTGGTGCCCTCTGAGTGTGAGCTGCCCAAGCTGCCAGCCTCTGGCAGCACCAACCCCAGAGCCCGTGCATGAGCCCTGCCCAAGGCCTCTTGGCATGCAGCACTTCCGGGCAGAGGCAGTAGACAGGCCCATCCTCTGTTCTGTCCTAAATCCATCCCAGATCTTCCCAAGGGTCGGCTTTCTCTGCCAGCCTCCCATGGAGTACCCAGCTGTACCTCTCATACCCCAAACTTGGGCCTGGAGCCACCCTGCCAAGCAGACAGGGGTTTGAGCAAAGGCCCTGGGGCATAGAGAGCAGAGTAGCCTCCCTCAGGGGTCTCTCTGGCTGTCCCTCTGGAGCACCCCAGACTCCCTCTGGGCCCAGCCCCAACCTCATTCTGCTCTGACCAAGAGGTCCTCTGAGGCCAGTCTGGAAGCCATTGATCCTCCCTGTGGCTCTTCCTCTCCCACCGTACTGAACAGGGCATTTCACCTTCCCATCCCAAGACCCAGAAAGGGGCCTGCTGGACAGGACCTTGCTGTCTCCTCCAGCGGGTTAAGGAGCTGCAGGTAGTGAATGCACATGCAGGAAAACCTCTCTCCTCCTCCTGGTGGCTCAGGGTGTCCAGGCCCCTGGACAGAACATCAGGAGTCCCAGTCCCTGTGCCAGAACTCCAGCATGGCACTGCCCACTGTGGACAGTGCGCCCGCATGGCCCGGAGGTTGCTTGCAGGAATGGGAGTCTGGAGGGGTGAGTGGTTTGCAGGGCGCCATCCCTCAGTGCAGATCCAGCAGCACCGAGGCCTTCAAAGTCCACGAGGGCCAGGACATGCTCTGGTGGACCACTGGGAGAGGGGCTGGAGTCCCCAAAACAGCAGCTCTGGCACTGCCAAGAAGGGAAGAAATGGCAGTCAGTCTTGGCTCGAGATTCCCAGACCCGAATCTGGGGCTCCCGCCTTTTTGTTTTCCCAGCACAGGCTGGGTGGGGACGCATTTCAGTATTTCAGGGCTGTTTTCCTTCCTGTCGTGATTGACGAGGTGTCGCTGAGGTCTTAAGCCTGATGGTCAGATGTGGGATTCGCCGGGAGCTCTGGCCTCAGATGGCTTGAAAGGCCCCTCCCTGGGACCACATTTCCGCTGGCAGAGGACAAACGGTGCAAACCACAAACCTGATCGATGGCCGTGCTCCCAAAAGTCACTCACGGCGCTGGGTCGAGGAGGTGGACGCCCCCTTAAGGGCCCTGCCTGGGGCTCACCACGCCAGGGCTCCCGCTGAGTGAAAACCTCCCCACTTTGTTCAGCCTGGCAGCCTCCCTGGGGGGGACAGGAAAAATCCAGGGACCGGGGCGAGCAGCGGACAATGGCTCCATTGTCGGGTGGAGGAAAGGAGAACAGCAGCCTTGCAATATTGCTGACAAGTACACTTTGTCCTGCGGCCGGGTCCTCCCATAAAAGACGGAGGAAAAAGGACCCATTTTGGAAACGGGGAAAAAAAACCTGCAGGAGGAAAAAAAGAAAATGTGTCAATGAGGAATCTGTTTTCTGGGAAAAGAAGTGCTTTTTCATTCCCCCGTAGCTTCATCCTGGGCCAAGCGTGAGTGTGCTGGGTATTTGCTGGGAAGCCTGAGAGAGCCGTCAATCTTATTTCTCACGACAGCGAAAGTCCCCAAATCGAGGTTGCGCTCATTTAGGGTACCGCGGCCAGGGCTGGGGCGGCTTCCTTGCTGTCACGGGGACCCGGAACGGGGCGCCCACAGTGCAGGCTGTTCAGGGGGCTCCGAGCCTGCGTCTGCTCCCCGCAGCTCCATAGCTCAGGAAGGGGAAGGGGCAGGTTCACACCTGCAGCCCCAGCCTTCAGGAACAGGATTCTGCAGCTACAACACTTTTCCAAGGGTGACCTGGGGCCTGCAGCCGAGACCCAAGAGAGGGAGCCTGCTCTTGCCCCGCCCTGGGACCCAGGATGCAGCCCCCAGATTCCTGGACACCCAGGGGCCCGGGAAGGTCCAGGAAGCCAATGAGACAGAACAGAGCAGGACGAGCTTTCACAGTGCCAGCAGCTGCCAACGCACACTGACCCAGAGACCAGTGCCAAGGTGTGTGGTGTGTAAGTCACCCAGGATCTGGTGGAGACCCTCGGGCAGCAGGGATGGGACTTGGTGGGTTTCCAGGTGGCGGCTTCCTGTGCAACTGGGCAGGGAGCGTTTCAGCGGCTTTCTCTGGCCGGCCCCGAGCTGGGCACAGACACCAACCAGGGCAGCCATCAGGGTTGGGTGAAGTCCTGTCCCCCCGCTCTCTGGGCAGGGCTGATCACTGGAGACTTGTTTGGCTCCTTGCTGGTTTAGCAGGCTGGGGTCCGAGTGATTCTATTTAGTAGATTTTGCTTTTCAGAAACATATTAGGATAAAACAAAACAAAACCAATCAGAAGCTGCCTCGATGTGCCACATGCCTCCAGCCCCTCATCACACCTCTCCCACCGTGGGCACTGCCCACCCGAGTGGCGTTGCCACCCCCCCCCATGATGGCCCAGGTTGTCAACGTCCGCCGAAGTCTCATAAATGTGGAGTCTGCTGCCCGGAAGCCCTGCTTTACTGCTTGTCCCTCCCTCCCCAACCCTGAGACTCCTGAGCCGAGTGCTATCTGCACGGTCTCCCCTTCCCCCGGACTTGGAGACCTCTTCAGCCTGGCTGAACCATGCGTGGAGATCCCTGGTCCGCTGCCCCAGCCCCATAGCTCAGCCCTCCCCACTCTGTGCACCTCCTGCTGCCCTGAAGGGCCGCACCTGCACATCCTCCACCTGCAGCAGGCCATGCTGGCTGCCTCCACCATCAGTCTGTTATAAACAAGCTGCTTGAACACCCGTTTTACTGTGGACATGAGTTTTTCACTCTGAGTAAAACCCCAGAGGGCGATGGCCAGATGCTAGGTTTCAGCTGGGAAGAAACCACCACACAGCTTTCCCGGGCTGCTCCGCTGTGCCCTCCGCCGGCTGTGCCAGGAGCTCTAGTTGCCAACATTCTCGCCAACATTTGGGGCTGCCAGAGTCTGCTTTCAGCCTTAATGGAGTCTTGCTGTTGCTTGGGCCTTTGAGGCCCAGCTCCTCGTGTCAACTCAGCCTCTGGGTTCCCACAAGAAACCCCCCAAGACTCCAGCTGCACTGAAGGACAAGCCACTGGTGCAGGTGACAGCTATAGGACCACATCTCACCTGCGGGCTGGGCTGGAGGACCCACATTCAGCCACTCTGGGGCCCTCAGGGGCCTGGGGGCAGAGGTCTCCTGCAAAGGGCGGTGGGTGGTTCCCAGGGTGACAGAAACATCCTGCACTGCGGCAGCAGAGCTGTATGCCTGTTAAAAAGTCACCTAACCGTGCTTTCAGAAGACACTTTGTCACGCAAAAGCAGGCCTCGATTAACCTGATTTTTTCAAAAACAGTGTGCGCCACCCACCCTACTTCAAGGCAGGAGCCCTCGCAGATGGCACCTCAGAAGCCTGGGGTAGGGGAAAGCACTCACACCCTTGCTCCCCCAAACCCAAGCCACCTGGGATCAGCCAGTCAGCTGGCCACCCTGGGATGGATCCTGCACTCAGGGGAGCCCAGGTTGGTGCCAGCAGCAGGCCCCGAAAGCCTCAAGGGTGGAGGTGTGCCAAGGTTGGCACGGGGAACAAAGACACTGTGGCTTTGCTGTGGAGCAGCTCTTCACCCCAGCCCTCGGGGTGGGCCCACCTGTTCACCTTGGGCTGCCTGAGCCCCCTTGGGACTCAGTGTGGAACTTGTTGCCTAGACTTTCTGCTTGGGATCATCTGTAGAGTTTAAAGACACACAGGGAATAACAGGCGCCGAGGCAGTCACCTATATACTCAGCACTCAGGAGGCTGAGGCAGGAGGATTGCAAATTAGAGGTCAGCCTGGGCAACTTGGTGAGAACCTGTCTGAAAATAAAATAAAAAGTGCTGGGTATGTAGCTCAGTGGTAGAGCACTTGCCTAGCACATGTGAGACCCTGGGTTCTGTCCTGGTGCAGAAAAAAAGTACAGAACACGACTGCAGATTTTATGGCTGTACATGCTATAGCAACAGAACAGAAAGACATGAGGTGGATAAATACCCATTTTGGTGTGGCAGTTTCCTCTGGAAAGGACAAAGAGGGAGGAGAAACTAGAGGGGCTGGAAGGGGTTCAAGTTCATCTGCAGGGTTTCATAAGTGTTTGGGGCCCTCTGACCACACCCAGGTCCGCGGCAGAGAGGGGCATCTCAAGGTTTTTCCTGTCTACAGCTCTGGCCTGGATGATGTTAAGCAAAATTAGTGGAGGGCACAGCTTCATCCAACTCACAGCCCAGGAGAAGCCACCAGCCTCTTCTGCCAGGCCTGCTGTCTACTCCTTCCTGGGCAAGCACAAAAATTTCTTCACTGCTAATAGTTTAGGGTTGGGTCAAATGCTTTTCCTCCACCTAGAGTCTTAGGACTTTTCTCTTTATTCTGTGAATGTGCTGAGTTATGCCAATTGATTTTTAAATATTGCACTGAACTTGCCCTTGGTTTGATGTATTATCCACTGTGCACAGAGCTAGGTGTGACCTGCTCAGAATCTCGGAGGACTTCATTCCTAAGTCCACGAGGGATGCAGGCCCGCGGGTTTCCTTCCTCATGACATGCTCAATATTGGTGTCAGGGTAACACTGGGCCCAGAGTGTGAGCCAAGCAACCCGCCCTCTTCCTCAGGGTTCTGAAAGACTAAGGTTGGAACCGTTTCTTCCTCTCCACGCCATCAGGGTCTGGTGCTTTCTTGTGGAAAGGTGCTTCTTATTTTTTGGCTGCAATAATTCTATTCTTTCTATCTGTCCTTCACCAGTTAAGATGAGCTCATGTCTTTTGCGTCATCGGCTGCCTGACCATGACTCTACAGCAGCGTACCCACCTGTTCCTATCTGGGCCACTCTTCTCCCTGCTGTTGTCCCCTAGAGTCTTTTCTCTGTCCTGAACAATCTGAGATTATCGACCATATTGATTTGGCCGGATAATCATCACATTGTTTTACTGATTTTTCTCTGTTGTGAATTTATTTCCTACTCCACTGATTTCTATTGACTTATTACTGTATTTCTTCTATGTCTCTGGCTTTAATTTGCACTAAAATTTCTAACATTTATGCTTTCTTTTTTGCTTTTGAGACAGGGTTTTATTATATATTCCAGGCTAGCTGTGAACTCACTATGGAGCCCAGGCTCACCTCAAACTCACAATGACTCTCCTGCCTCAGCCTCCTGAGTGTGAGAATTACAGGTGTGTGCAACCACGCTGAGCACTGACACTTAAAGATGGAACTGTGGATCACTGATTTCTAATACGGCTTCTTTCCTAACCTATGCATTTGAACCATACATTTCCCTTGAGAAAGTCTCAGGCACATCCCACACATTTTGGTTTATCGCCATCATAACTCAGTTTAAGGTATTTTGTAATATCACCTGTGGTTTCTCCTCTGACCTTTAGATTACTTTGCATTACTCAACTTTCAAATAGTTAGGAATTTTACAGATACCACAGTGTTATTTGTCTCTACGTCTGTCCTGTTGTGGTCAGAGAACACGATCTGCATAATTTTGATTGTTGCCAATGCTCCAGGCTTTGCTTTCTGGCCTAACAGACGGTCTGCATGTGTCAGGCGGAGCTGGGCAAGTCTTTAGCTCTTCGCTGATTTTTCTGGCTTCTTGTTCCGACATTTACTGGAAGAGGTGTGGAAATCTCCGACAATCATCGTGGGCCCTGTTTGCCCTTCTGGACTGGTCTGGGTCATCCTTTTGCATGCATTTTGAAAGTCTGTCACTGTGTGGGAACCTGTAGGACTGTGGTCTTCTTGATCCACCAAGTCCTTCATCACTATGACAAGTCCCCCTTCCCCTCGGCAATGTTCCTATTCCAAAGTCCATGTATCTAACACTAATATGGCCACACCAGCTTTTTCATAACCAGGATTTGGATAAAACCTTCACCTGCTTTGACTTCTGCCCTGTGTCTTTCTGTTTGAATCTTATTTAATAAGCACCAAATAATTTGGTTTTGCTTTTTTTCTAGTCTGACAGTCTTTATCTTTTAATTGGTTATGTTTAACCCATTCACATTTAATATAATTATTCATATGGATGGATATAGGTCAGTCTGTTGTCTTTCCTCTGTTGCTCTGACTTCTTTTGGATTAATATTAATATTTCCTCATATTCTTTCTTGCCCTTTCTCTTGGCTTATCAGCTATGACTGTGTCTTAATTTTTAGTGCCTGTTCTAGTGTTTTCAGTATTTTTCCTTACTGTTATTTATCTGTGGTGTTATGCCATTTTATGTAAAATATATGAACTTTACAGTGATATTTCTATTGTCTGCCTGTCTTTTGTGCTCTTATTATAATACACTTTCCTTTTACATTTTGCTTTAAATAATATCTTTTAAAGAAAACAAAGCACAGGGAATACGTCCCTCCCATACCCCCACATACTTGTGATTTCTAGTAGGCATCTCTTCCTTGTCCGACCTAGTTTACATCTGCTATCATTTTCTTTTAGCCTGAATATTTTCACTCTGGGCATTTCTTGTACTCTAGGTCTGTTGAAAATGAAACTTCAACATTGGTCTCACAGCATCTTTATTTCATCTTTTGTTGAGAGATATTTCCACTCGCAGTGCACATTTGGCTGACAAGCCTCATCTCTAGTGGGTTAACGTTGTGCCTGTCCTCTTGGCTGGCAGAGACCTGGAGTCACCAGTGTCCCTCGCTGTCCCCTTCTGGCCTCCTCTCCGCCACTGTTTTCTGTCCTTTAGTTAATGAACCTCAGAGCTGCAGGACCTGGAGAACCTCGAGGCTCCCTGGGACTCCTGGCCTTCCTGCCATCACCCTGCCTGGCTCTGCTCAGACTGGAGGCAGAACCCACTCGGGCAGTCTGCAGGCAGGGGCGCAGAGGGTGGTCAGGGGCCAATCTATGGCTACAGAAAAGGTTCTGGGGGTTTGGCAGAAAAGCGCAGGTGGGACTGAGATTCGCATCCTGCTGAGTTCAGGTTGAATCCTGGTTTCCCCAAGGGTCAAGGTGCTGCAAACGCCCAGCACATCCTAGGTGCAGTACCTACAATGGGCTCCTGGGGGCAGCAGCCACTCTCATTTCCCAGAAGCTGCGCCCTCTCAACCCACCCACCCCGCCCCACCTCTCCTGGTGGCTCCGCCCCCGGGGCAGCCTGGGTCAACTCTGAGCTACGTTTCCCTTCCTGCCAACGACGACTACTGGGCTGTGCTCTGCCCAAATGCACCTGCACGCAGGCCCTCAGCCCTCGCAGGCTGGGGTGGGGCCAGGCAGGACCGCCCAACGACCAAGCCCAGCTCGGGTCTCCCCAGCGTGAGCAGCGGAACTGTGCCTGCAGGCGTGTGTCTCCTACATGCACCCGGGCTGCCCTCTTGTCCTTTCGCCGTCCTGTGATGGCCACAGGGTGAGAGGGACCCGAAGCGTCTCAGGCATTGCGGAGTCAGTGTCACAATGATGAAGAGGGGCAACGGGGCAGGTGGCAGCCTGATGTGGGGTGTGGTGATCCGCAGGCTGGAGCAGACCAGAGGTGGGTGGGCCAGGGCGTCGGCCTCGGCCCCTTTGTCCAGCTCTCCAGGAGCCAGGCCCAGCAGATCTGACCACGAGATCCCTGTATTTGGGCCCCGCCGCTGCTCTCAGGATGAAGACAGGGACCTCGCGGGGCCCCACCAGCTGGCCCCATAGCCTGCTTCCCAGCTCCCCGCGGGCCTAGTATTCTTCTCTGGCCATACTGCTCCGCCCCAAGACCTCTGCACTCGGCAGGCCTCGGCCATCTGAGACACGGAAATGGTGATGACTCAGCCCCCTACAAGGGGCTGGGTGCTGCGAGCTACTGGCAGGGGCTACCGACTGGCGGCCAGGTCTGACAGAAGCCAGAGGCGGGGTCTTCCCAAGGCGAAGAGGCGGTGCAGTACTGGTTTCTCTGGGAAGGCCTCCCGGAGGAGTAGGCGTGAAGGAGAGGGACCACTGGAAGGAGGCCAGAGCTAGCGGGAGGGCCAAGGGGCGGGGCCTGGAGCCTCCGGGGGGAGGGGCGTGATCACGTGGGCGCCGGCCAGCCTGGTGGGTATGGTGCCTGGAGCGGGCAGTGCCAGATAAGGCACACAGCAGGTGCCCTGAGCATGCCCCACCCACTCCTCACCCAGATGCGTAGGCTGGGCCTTCCGGCTGGATCGCACCTAGCCCAGCAACAGCACTGATCCGCCTACCTGGACTACCTGCACCGTCGCCCCGCCCACTAAGGCCCGCTTGGTCCCGCCCACGCTCCGCCCAGGAAGTGGGGAGGGCGCAAGGAGCTGAGCGGAGGTGGGCTGCGGACTGAACCAGGTGCTCCTCGGCCGCGCAGGTGAGCCTTCCACGCAGGTGAGTCCGGCGCGGGACACGCCTGCGGGGATACGTGGTGACCCTGGCACCGCCTCCTCGCCTTTCCTGCGAAGACCCCACTTCAGAGTCCGCGCAGCTTCGCTCCAGCCCGTGCCGGTCCGCGGGGGGCGGGGCCTGCAGGCCGGGGTTGGGCTTCAGGCGGGGAGGGACCTTTCCTGCGAAGACCCCACTTCAGAGTCCGCGCAGCTTCGCTCCAGCCCGTGCCGGTCCGCGGGGGGCGGGGCCTGCAGGCCGGGGTTGGGCTTCAGGCGGGGAGGGGACCTGACCCTGTCACCTGGGCCTTAACGCCCCAACTCCATGTCCCCAACCACCGCCCCTCGGCCCTGAGCCTCAGTCAGGACCCCCCCCCCGCAGGGAGCTGCAGCCGCTCGCACACCAGGCGCGAGGACTCTTGGGAAGGAGGGCAGGGTCAGGGAAGGGCCTCGCAGGGGTTCACACACAGCCTCCCACATATCCCAGGTCAACCGGCCTCCTCTGAGGAGGGGCAGGAAGCTCCCCACGGCGGTGTGGACCCTGCACACTGTCCTGCCTGCCCAGCCTCAGTTTCACCATCTGTAAACCGGGAGCAGAGGTTCCTTTTGAGTTTGGGTGAACCAGTGCTGGGCTCCTTCTTGGGCCTCCACACACTATCTGGAGCCCAGGCGAGGCCCAGATGTCCCTAAGTTCTTGAGGTGCAGTCTGTGCACCAGCTAGGATCAGGGTGGAGCGCCTCCTTGCCTGGTGCCACCTGTGGGGCCTGCTGCAGCCATCAGGGGGTCCCAGTGGGTCACGGGTCCTGCCTGTCTGCCTTGATCCTCTGTCAGCGGCTCCGGGGCCAAGTACCACTCAGCGTGGCCTAGGGAAAGTTCCTTCCACCTGGGCCTCCTGTTCTTCTCTGGACCGTCCCCTTGGGGTATGGGCTCAGCTGGGTGCAAGTGCAGACCACACAGTCCTGTTCTCACGATGCCACAGTCCAGACGAAGCCCAGCACTGGTCACTGAGTCCTAGCTGAGCCCCACTGCCCCGGAACTGCAGGCTGCCCCAGCTTGCTGCTTGGCTGGGGTTTTGGTTTCAGTTTCTGGGTCCATTTTGGCTGCCTGTGTGTGGCCTGTGGCGGCTCAGTGCTCAGGTGACCATCCGCTGTCCACCCAGCATCTGCAGGCGAGTTCCGGAACCCTGCACTCCCTGTTCCTGGCTTAGGGACAGCTGCCCAGGTCAGGATGGGCTGGCTCCTCACTGGTTCACGCTGACCAGCAGCAGGACCCAGGTGAGTCCCATCCTGCTGCTGCTTCCTCACCTGACAGAGAGGAGGGGCTGCCCTCACACTACAGAGCCAAAGACACCCGAGGGTGCTGGTGGGCAGGGTAGCAGAAGTCCTGTCCTCTGTCCAGGTAGTGGGCAGGGTGCTCCTTTGGGGGCCCCCTATGCCAGCTGAGCCTGGGTGGGACCTAGGTTTGGCGGTGTCTGGATTTAGAGGCAAGAGATGGGCGTGTCAGGTGGCCGCTGTGGCTGGCCAGGCTGTTGGAGGCAGGCACCCAGGGCTCTCAGCCACCCCAGCCTCCCTGCCTCGGCTGGGGGTGCTTGTTCTGTTCATTCTGTCACAGTGCCATCCTGCACAGGCACCACAGCATCCCTGGCTGGAGCCACAGGATGTTGGGACCAGTAACACCGCATTTCCAGCTGCCCCAGGATGATGGCCCCTGAGCTGAGCTGATGGCCACCTTGTGTGAAGCTGGCTAGTGTGCGACTTACAAAGCCACATTCTGCCCCCAGGTTGTGTGTGACTTCAAGTCCCACGCCAGTCGGGCAGAATTACCTGCGCACAAAGGTGTCATTGTGGTCTAAGTGAGGTTGGAAGGGCAGTGCTGGAGCACTGAGCCTCACCAGGCAGGGAGGAGGCTGAGGGACTGAGAGGCTGGGGTAGAAGGATGGAGCAGCCACCTCAGAGCTGCCCATAAAAGTCACAGGTACAAGGTGATGTGCGTTACAGTGACAAAGGCAGCAGGGACCATGGGCCAGGAAACCAGGGTCCCTGGGGAACCCGGAAGCCAATCTGTGGGAAGGAAGGGTGAGGGCTGGAGGACCAGAGCAGAGCAGCCCAGCCCCCCTGGATCCCCAGCCTCAGGAGCCACATCGGGTCTGTTTGGGTCCCTCCCCAAGCTGCCTCCCACCCACGCCCCACCATGGAGCATGGAGCAGCAAAGAGAAAGCAAATGCTGTGAGCTTCAGGGTTCCAGGCTGCCCCGAGCAGGTGTCACCCAAGAGCAGCACAAAGCTGAGGGCCTCTGTGGGGCAGCCGTGGCGATTCCCGCTGGGAGCAGCGGCCCCACGCATGTTAGTTCCCCGCTCAGACTGCAGCCTCTTGGGGAAGAACAGAGTCCAGGTGAGACCAGGGCAGAGCCCTTGCCAATGCCGGGCATTCAACCATCAGTTCAGAATGTGAGCGCCACTGTTTGTGGGGACCTCAGACTTGTAGATAGACAGAGGCCCTGGCAGACAGCTTGAAGTTCTCACCTCCCTGTGTGTCTCTGCAGGAGCTTCCTACTCAGGGAGTCCAGGCGCCTTTACTAGGGTGGCCCCAGGGACATCCAGCCCACTCTGAGATACAATCACACAGAGTGTGGCCGGCTCTGCCTGGAGGGCAGCCGCAGGGACAGCGCTCTTCTTGGCCCTGTCCTTCCACCTCCCAGTGACAAGCCCAGCGTCCCCTCTGTGAGCCAGTGGCCTGGTGGAGAGGCTACAGATGCAGACATGGACTGGCTGTGCCAGGAGCCTGCAGGACTGAAGTGTGTGCCCTTGGGCTGGGGATTTAACTCAGTGGTTCTGCCGCCTGCCCTGCAAGTACAAGGTCCCGAGTTCGTTCCCTGGTACCAAAAAAAAAAAAAGTGTGTGCCATAACCAGGGCCACCCCCCAGCA